TGTTGCAGCAGGACAGTGGAAGTAACTGGAGAGGCAGGGAGCAAGATGTGTGAAAGGCACCAGGACTGAGGGCAGGCCCCGTGCTCCCATTAAGCAGCACCAAGGCTCTCTGTGGAGGCGTCTTTTATACCTCCCACGTCTTGTTGTGTAAATGGACGCATACTCTTAACTGACCTGTGAAAGGGATTGTCACAATGACTGACAAAGGGAATCAATAGTTACAAGATGACCAACTGGGCCAGGAATGCTTCTTTATCTGGGGTTTATGTTTGGGAAATGTCTTGGATGGAAAAGATCAAGATGGGTTGATAAACCCCAATGCTTGCATCAACACTCTTGCCTTTCCCATTCACCTACACTCTAAACAATTCATTAGAAACAGATGACACGATAGGAAACGATTAGAATTGTTCTATACGTAGGTGGTCAACTTACAAAGTGCAGCAATGGTTATCTGTATGTCACCAGTGAACTGAATGATAATGTGCATTGTGTTTGGGGTTGTAGTACAAGGAGCATTGTTCACAAGAGTTTCACTGGGCTTTCGTTGTAGGCAGAAGAACAGTGGATGAAGAGAGCAAAAAGGGAGAAATGCAATCTGCCATAATGAAATCTCTGAATCATTGTAAAGCCAATTTACAATTAGTAAATGTACAATTTGGTTAGTAAATCTGTTATAGTCATATGTTGTTTCTCAACTACAACTCCAATCACGCTATAAGTTGCTAGTTGGACGTAAACAGTGACAACCCACAGTAATGGAAATCTTGGTTCTTGTTAACCACAGGACACAACAGAAGCCCTGAAAAGTTGGCGATGGGTTCCAGGTGAGTTGGTAACTCATGTTCTAAGTTTTAGTTTCAGTCATATATAGGATGGGATTAGGGAAAAGTACAGGCAGATCTAGTATGCTTCCATCAGAATGCTTATTGCAATGTCTGCAAGTGTCTTCAATACCCCATAGAGCGACTGAATCAGGAGTTGCTGCACCTAACACATTTTTAAACATCTCTCGAATGCACAATTAACACAGCTATTGGTCTAATGTACTGATGGATGAGAGAGGGCACTGTGGAGTGCTCATGTATACAAGTGACTGCTTTGGGAGTACCAATATGAACAAAGGCCAAATAAGGACAAGGCTAGGCCCAACTTTGTTGTACATGACTGTGCAAACAGCTTGCAACAAGAGAACTCAATGTCACATTTGATGCTGACACTGACAAAAAAAAAGAGATGAGAGCATTAGCTTTTAAAGGAAATGGGAAAATCCAGGGCCTTAGACAAGGTGTGTCTATGTTCAGAGTTCATCATCAAGATACTCCACTTAACACATGTCAATTAAGCACATATTAAGAGAAGAACGTCCACAAAGGGTTGGCCATAGGTCCTTAATCTCTAAAGTAGCAGCAGCAAGGGGAGTCATAAAAAGTAGCATGCATTTTTAGGTCAAGAAAGTGTTGCAAGTCTGCTTATAAATGCACGTTCTTCCATTGTTAGAAAGTTGAGTGGCTGAGGGTATCAATGTGGCTTGAAATGTCAAAGGGTACCACAGCTCTGTTTTCAAATGTTTCGGAAGCCAGCAACCATGAGCCTTTCTGTCCATCAACATCCATAACAGAAATAATTTTGCGATTGACTTTTCAAATTATTGGCAAGAGACAGAATTTGCATTACAGTTTTCAACGCAGAAGGAGGGTATCGTGTGGGAACAGGGTCAAAGTATCCACCATCGCAAGTTCTGGGGAATCCATCAAGCCTGACTTTCACAAAGAAGGTCCTGGACCGGATACCCGCTGAGCTCTGTTCGGCAGTCACCTAATCTGTGGAGTGGGCCACTCTAATTCAACCTTATGCCCAGCGGTTGGCTCTGCCCTGCCCTCATCTCCTTCCTTTTCATTCACAAGAGTGAACCCTCCTTCCAGTAACCCAAACCTTCTTACCCCAATGACTCTTTCACCTCGACACACAATAGACCCTGTTCAGCCCTCCTGCCCTCAATCCCACTTCATAAAGCAATGGGGCAGATCAAGGGCAGATCCGAATACCAACTGCTCAGACAGGTCCTGTTTACACAACAAGGCGCTACGTGCAATGGATACAATGCAATCATCTACCAACCAAAGTCTGACCATGCATTGTCGGAACAACCTGCAACAGATTGTTTAAGGCCATGTTTAAAATCTTACATTGTGAAATTAAATTGGGTGTATAGTGACTTTTGAGGAAGGCTTGGTTTGCATGACCAATAACTGCACGAGACACTAATGTAGGATTATTTGTTTTTGTTTCATTGGATAAATTCAACCATCATTTAAAGTAAATCTAGAAGTTGAACCTAAAAATTGAACACCCATTGATTTTTATGCCCATGCATTAAGCTACAGGGAAACCATCACAACATGTTCGGTCAGACACCAATTCATTAGGCAAATTAAATCATTTGATTGATTAAGGGGGATTTGGGGGTTTGTTTGGCAGATGTCAGTACATGGAATCTTCAAGGTTAGATTGTTTCTATAGGCATCACAGATATACCTGTGGTCCAATTGATAGTTGTACAAATATTTCATGGGACCCAACTCAAGTCATGAGTTGAACTAGATGAAAAGAAATCAGGGGATCACTATCAGGTGTTATTGACCAATAAACGGCTGTGGTTCTGTAGAGGAGTCAGTCTTCTCTCAGTCTGAAGGTTTGTGGTTTAATCCCAAGCTCCTTCAGTCCAAATGTTGAAGTGTCCTTGGGCAAGACACTGAACAAAAAGACTTATGAATGCGTACAAATAGGATTAAATAGCAGGCACTTTGTAAAGCAACCTCCACCATCAGTCTGTGAATGCGACATGTAGGCCTACACCCCGTTTTGGGTGGTCAGAAGATGAGTAAATGGGTGTTATAAGGTCAGTGCATTTGGCAGTTGATTGTAAGTAATGAATAATGAGATATAAGTAAGATAAGATCAAATCTTCTTCAAAGGGAATTCCCATTGTTCTGGACCACAAGTGTCACCGATGTAATATACCCAACTGTTTAAATTAAGAGTATAAATGTCACTGTTCAGGTGCACCGATGATACAATCTAATGTAAGAAGAATCTTTGTGACTGACTTTCCTAACGCCTGCTCAGCTAGCAAACCCCTGAGAGGGTGGTCCTACTGGTGAGGGTGCGTTGATGGGTGGGTGGTGGTAGGTGGCATAGATATCCCACACAGGATTAGAGCAATGCTGTTGGAAGAGGAGGAGGGGGAAATAGAGGGAAATGCCCCAGAAACGCAACACCACCTGACACGTATGGAATGGACTCTTTGCGGGGCGACTAAAACACGCCTGCCAGAAAGAGAGAAGATCTGCAGAATCCCTTCTTCTACACAGCCAATTATTCAGACTGTGAAACGGAGCAGTACACAATGAGCACGTGTACATTCTGCCTGTAACATGAGTAATGCACCACACCATACTTTGACTTTCAATCAAGACTTTAAAATGCTTTACAGTCGATAGCAGGTAAGCGAGCCAATTCCTTTAAACAACGAGAGCCTTGATACTGCCTGATGTTGTTAAAGGCCAGAGTATAGTCTTAATGAACGAGTTCAAAACATCTAAAGACAGAAGTACCCTACCCACTTTAACACATGCACTGCACCTCTTTAAATGTCCCGACATTACTTAAGGATCTACAAGTGACCCTTCAAATGTCAGAATTGTAAACTGTAACTTAAAAGGGTCTAACCTTCTAGCCCCCTTGTAAGAGGTCCCTGTGATGTCTGAGTGAGCTGTATGAAGAGTCACAGAGTATTTCTAATAGTTGAAAAAGTGTCATGGACCACCACTGACTGTGTGCCTGATGTGTGAAAGGGCAAGTCCGGATAAAGTCCTAGTTTTCTTCAAATTATCTTGATGGCTGTAGACTTTCTTTCATTGAAGCCATTCAAAGTGTTGCACCAGTTTAGAAATATGAAAAGGGACAGAAGTTTCTACAATTCTGCAATACACTTAGCAGACGCTTTTATCCAAAGCGACGTAGACCAGAGCGTAAGAACAACACAAGCAAGGATCTTGACCGGAGGTTGACCGCTAAATTGCACTGCAAGACTGACGTCCATATGTGTCTCCAGTACATTCCAGAAGTGTTTGTCCGCTCTGTATCTATTATCTATGTATCTATTTTCAACGGAGCCTGCATCCACCACACATGTCAAGCTGAAAAGAGCAGATCAACCCAAACAGGAAGGCAGGTATAGGAAACCATGGAGCAGCTGGTCAACTTCAAAATTAAAGGCTTTATATGCGTTTTTTTGATCCAGCAGATGTCGCCCTTGAGCACCAGCATGCAACACAAACAACTCGCGCTGCATTGTTGTGTTAGCATGCAGAAATTGCATATAAAGCCTTTAAACACCATGTACAGATCAACATTATTAAACCCAGAGAGGCAAAATAACTTGTTGTTCTTATCTCCTGATCTCACGATTTCTGAATGATCTTTAAGTTCTCCCGTGATCTTGCAGATTCAGCTGCAGAGCAAACCTACAGCGGATTGTGGTGCACATTCACGCAGTGGAAACAGAGGAGGGGTGAGGAATGCTACTTTTTCACCTCCACACCCGCAGCCAATTCCTGTTGGACAAGTTTACCAGATTGCCAGTTTAAAATAATTGTTGGATGAAGCACCGAGTCACAGTGTTGCGAAAGTGAGGCAGGAGGTGTTTTAGTGAACATCTGTGATGCACTTGGTTGGAGCATGTCAATGCCTGTCCCACACAAGCATCGACTACCTTAAGCTAAACACTGTCCCTCCACGTACAGGCTAGCATCTTGGTCCAACAGTAATCCTACTTTTAAGAAGTTTTATGAACACTAGCAGGTGAAGAAGTCAAGAGCCAGCTGGAGCAGATGTGATGGTTTTATTACGGTGGATGTCGTACTGTAGCGGACTCAAGTTGTCCATCTGTACTAGCTCGGAGGTTTCACTATATTTAAGACAATGTCACACAGGAATGAGCTTAATTACGTAGAATTAATCATTTTAATAGAAGTGTAAGCATCATTACACTTGACAGGAGAAATGGCAATAAGATCTGAAGAAAGGAAAAAAAGATTTACAATAAAAATATCAAGATACATTAAAGAAACTACAGAAAGCAAATGTGATATAAATTAAAATCCATATTCTAAACAGCACAAGGCAAACTGTAGAACAGTTAAGAAACCCTCTTATAGATTTTTTAAATCTGTAAATAGACTTTTTATTTGGTATTAATGAAGGATCAAGGTGAGGGTGATAGAAGCATAGATCATATTTTTTTTAAATGTCAAAATTACAAATGCCCATACACATTGTTTCCCTGAAATGACACATCTGTTACACATTTTACATCAAACATATCAATAAAGATAAGGAACATACAAATCACCAACTTACCATGACGCACCTTAGAAACAAAATGCTTCACCCCCCCCCCCATGTCAGCATCTCAATTATATTATAGCATAAAGTGTGAGCCCGATCAGTCACCCTCCCTACAAAAGGATCTCCAGTTATCTAATACACAGAGTAAGTTTGTGTCAGAGGAACGATGCAGAACGGCAGCGTCTTAAAACATTTTCACTTTTGCAGCAACACACATGTCCATGAAACCCTGGGATCTCCCTTCACCCAACAAACCTCCAAAGATCAACTCCTTCGCATTCATGGCACTCCATTAAAAAAAGGCTTTTGCAAGACCTTCCCTATTTTTTTCTTTTCTTCATGAAATGGACTACAAAGGAGCCAGATTTACACTGCATACATTCAACACACATATGGTGACCACATTTAAACTTTTGAGAGTCATGCAGGCTGAAACACACCCCAGCATGCACTTAGCGAAAGTCAGGGGAACATCAACTGTAAAATATGTCATGTAGAGGTTTACATCAGTCCCACCTGAACAAGGACAGCTAAGTTTTTATGCACAAACGTTTCTTTTTAAAAGTCGATGGACAAGTCAGTATCTACAAATCCTTGGCCACCAAAACCACAGCTTCTGAGTTTCTACATTTTCTGTGGGAAATATACTCCAATTTAGAAATTCTGTTGGGATCATGAGATTGAATATTCTGCACAAGCTGAGAAACCCAATATGTTGCTGATGCTGTACAAGAGATGTATTTCTGCAAGTTTTTTTTTTCCCATGGCTTTCCATGAATGCAGCACCTCAGCAAGTAGATCCTTAGCTCTAATGTGCTGGCTAGCAGGGTTGTTTGAGTTGGGTTTACCAGTTATCCCAATGTCTGTCTGAGTATCCCCAAAACCAAATACCTATCCTTTATCAACTATATGAATAACCAATGGCTACATCACAAACTCCAGGAAAAAAAGGCGGTTGCTTACAGAGGATCTATATTCATCAGACAACAGCTGATAGGTTTAGAAATGGCAAATTGTGTCGTTTATGTGTTTGGCAGTCAGCTAGTTGGGTATGCAAGTCCAACATGTGTTAAAGTGTTACATATGGGAACCCAAGGGAAAGCCAAAGCCTCCCGAGGCTCTAGAAAGTTCAGGATATGAGAAGCCCCAGGTTGCAGTCTGCATTGGAAAAGGCTGTTTGATGCCAGTTGGTGATCTTCAAATCTATTCTTTGATTAAAAAAAAAAAAAAAAGTCAAAGCCAATGTGAGCCGTTGTTCACCATTGTAGGTCTTGTGAAACTGCAGACGCAAGAAGTGTCGGGTTTATAAGACGGATGTAAAGGAGAGTTTAGGGTGAGGGGCAGGAGTCTGTTGCCTGAACCCTTTCTAACCTAAATGCAGCGGAAGTGTCCGTGACACAGCGCCTGGTGTGCGGTTACCATACAGACTGGGCCTCAGCGTTTTCTCGGCTGCTACTGCAGAGAGAGAGTGGGAGTAACTCGAGCGTCGACACTTCTCCTTTTCCCAGTCCCAGACCCAAGCTCACCTCAGACTTGTCTAGTCTTTCTGCCAGGGCGTCGTGACTGAGCAGCAGCTATGTGCTCTACGTTATTCCCAACACACAGCATCTGTGTTTTTCAGCACAGGGGTTATCTAAGATTTCCCTGCTAGAACGAGTAAGGCCGTGTTCACACTTGACTTCTTTCTTCAACTGCCAGCGCCTTTTTTACATACAAGTCTATGGAAAAATGAAAAAGGATGACGCCTTTTTCAGTTGAATTATTTCAACTTTTCAGAAAAGCGCTGGGTGACATCAAGCGCCTTTCTGACAGCTGACCAATCAGGATGAGTAGTAACCTACGTCCCTAGCTACCGGTGCCCAACAACGGCAAACTTCCACCAGATGTGTGCGCTCCGGTCCGTTACGGGTTCGTGCGTCCTCATCCGTCAACACCCACCGACTGTGTTCTCAGTCTGCAGCACGGAGAGCACAGCGGACAGCTGGAGTACGGAGACAAAGGAGTTTCCGCGGTAATTTAACAGATTCACTCGCGACAGCACGAGATAATACGATGTTCGTGGTATAAAACTCAATAAAAACCTTATAAACACATAAACAAACACAAACGGTGGTTTTTCTGAACCGTCAAAACGGAGGGTGTTATTCTGAAAATAAACCGGATGTTTTAATGTTGTATCGGTGTCTGACTTCCCGTCCCGTTTGTTCTTTTTTGTGCTAAATTGATGCGTTGTGTTCCGGCGCGGTTGCACCGCAGACTAGATCCTGTTGTTATGGTTACAGAACACTCGTGCGTAAGCGCTCAAAAGGTGCTGAAAGCAGCGCTTTTTTCTGAAAAAAGTCAAGTGTGAACACGGCCTAATGAGAGCAAACAGGCAGAAGCTGGAGAAGACTTGTGTTATACTTGTGTTTCTCGAAAAGAAACTTTCTCAACAGGAAGGTGTTTCTGCTTTACCAAAGTCCTGTTGTGGTTAGAAAATGTTGATTAAATGTAAACCAAAAATGTAACACCACATGGTCGTTAAATGCAACATATTCAAATGTAGACTTCATCAAGTTCACAAAGCCGCAGCAATCCCAACAGGCAGAGGTTAATAAAGTCATGGAAAGACTTCGTTCTGCTTGGCTGCTACCGCCGCTTGATAACGGTTCATTGTTTGCCATTGCGTTGGAATTTAAAGAGTTTGGTTTCAAAAGATTTTCACTTAAACTGTTTACTCCCATGCATGAAAAGTTGGACTGTTCACGACTGCTGGGAAGACACGGTTTACAGATTTCTGTTTACAATCAGAAATCTACAACTGGCAGAAAGTAGAGGAAGAACTTTGGGATAAAACCTAGAGGAGCTGCTTCTTATCTCCAGCCAAGGCAATAAAACACAAAGAACAGTGAAACTACAGAGGTCATGCGCATTAGCTGGTACTCTTAAAATTAATTTCCCCAATTCTTTTTAACACCACTTTTCACTAAAAGAAACTCTTACATTCTGTGCAAGGTCAGTGTCACCAGCATGTCAGACAAGCAGGGGGAAGTTATCTGAATATACTAGACAAACACTCCAATTATGAAGTGTTTCTTGATTTAAAATCAATCTGCAATTTCAAATTGCTTTACATGGCTGCATTTTTCTTTCTTTCAGGGGACTATTGGCAATCGACGTTTTTCATAGATGAGATGTAAACTGCAGTTTTGGCTCAAGCAACTACAGCCCAGAAATCTGTGACTCACACTTGAAACACACTGACTGTGGAACTACCATGTGCAAATATGTTATTGTATAAGTTTGTTCAATATGGTTGACAGCAAACATGTCTACATTCAAGACTGGAAAAAAACTCAACCTTTTTTAATCTAAAAAAAAAAAAGGCTTCAGTTAAAACTTGGTATGTGATAGATGTTTTTTTTCTTCAGTTCATGTCCCCTTCATCCAACAGCAGAGAGCACTTCATTCTTAATGATCTGAGGAGCTGCAGCGGCTTTTGACTTTGAGCACAACTAAGATCTCATCCCCGTCCTGGATTCTGTAGGAATGGAGGGCCCGTGTACCGCACTTGAGCTCCTCAGGTCCCAAGACCTGAGACATCTCCCGGGTGATGTAGAAGAGCCGGATCCCGTTGGTGGGCAGCTGCAGCAGAGTTTTGAGGTGTTTCTTCAGGTCGCCCACCGTCTGCTCCAGGCTGAGGCCGATGGCTTCCACTCTGTCTCCATAGCGAACATCCACCAAGGTGCTGCGGGGGCTCAGGTCCACCTCTGCCAGCGGGGCCAGGTGACCATACTTGGACACAAGGATGTGGTACCTGGGAGAAAACAGAGCTCATGTCAGATCCCTGAGTGTGTTTACTGTTTTTATTTTGTTATTGTTTGGAGCATCTAAAGCCTGAAAACAGACAGACATGGGGAGACAACTCATTTATTATTTCACTTGAGGGTCACACTTTCACAAACTTTAAAGGAACAGTTCAATATGATAAGTTAGTATTTATAGTTTGGACCAGGAGACAATAAGCCTTGCTTAGCATCGGAAGAGGAAGTAAGGAGACCATTAATCCCAACTTCCCCAAATCCAAACCATCCAATAACACACCTATCACCATCTCTAAAGATCTGTGATTTTCAGTTAGGTTATGTAAACAGCCTGTAGGGCAGGGTTAGGGTTAGGTGAGGTAGGGTGTGCGGGTTAGGGTTAAGGTTAAGGTTAAGGGTAGGTTAAGGGTAACCCTGACCCCTATATGTCCGCCAAGGCTTTTGCTTAGACGTTGCACAAAAGTGCTGAGCAGACAGAAAACATGGCGTAATACTTCTAGGATACCTGGTTTGGATTTGTTAATGAGGATGGCAATGTTGAAAAGCGAGCTTAACAAGCTGTTGGAAGGGTTTTTCCAAAGATACTGAGAGGAACTTTCAGTTTGTCCTTGTGGACAAAGTCGTTCCTCTTGCCTCGTAGCGTACTTTGTCCTGTACACCTGTCGGAAGCGTTTCTGATGATAAATCTCATCCTGCTGTTTCTTAATATTGAAACACGACTCAGACTGACACCTTCCCAGCGGCAGTACTTTTCTGTATAGACATTATCAATATTGTCCCTGACAGTCTTGTTTGCCTTTGAAGGTCACGTAGAGGAATCAATATCAACTTCAGTTTGTTTCATAACCAGATAAATACTTCTCTCAGGACGGTGGAGCAGGAAATCAGGAGAGAGTGGGGAATGACACACGGGGAAGGAGCCGCAGGCCAGACCTGAACCTGGGCTACCCGTACGGAGGACCACAGGCTCCTGTCAAGGGGTCTGCACCCCGCTCTCAGGAGCTTTATGACTGAAGACGGACAAACCCTACTGACCTATTCTTTTAGGGAAACTTGAGATATTTTCCGAGGTAAACCATTGGCCTCCAAATATTTTTTTAATCACTATCGTTGTCTGAATATATTATATCTTTGAATATCTACAGAATAAAGTGACAAAATTATGAATTGAATTCCAGTCATTTTGATCCATTTTGGTATTTCATTGATACTTTCCAGTTTTTCATTTGTCCTTTCTGTTCCAGCTTCATTTTGTGTTTTTGTCGACTACAGAAAAAAAAAATGGTACAATGCAACAAATGCCCAAACCTGGACTCAGCCCAAGGACAATGTAGTTTTGCAATCTCTTGTTCTTTCTTGGTGAAGTGGCCAGTAACACTAACACAAAGAATTATCAGTTTTATCGAGCAAAAAAGAGGCAGAGGCAACATCATGGTCTTATAAAAATATCTCTTCTAAACAACTACAACTATAACTGCATCGTCTCTGTTCAATGCACCAACTTATCCATTTCAGCCAAAAATTATTTTCCTGGACTTTCAAACATTCCCACTCAGGAAGTAAATTAAAAAAAGCCAAAAAAACAGGTACACTGAAATGCACCATGACTGTGTTGGAGAGGCAGAGAAAAACAGAGTTCTCTCCCTCTTGCTTTGCCGTGAGAAAGCTCTCACCCACCTCAGGGGAATGCGTGCTCGAGATAAGGAGGAACGATTAAATAAAATCCAAGGAGAAAAAAGGTCTGTGCTTTCAAAGCTACAGTAACAGCTGGGCCAATCAAAGCAATTTCCCCGTCCCTCCCCAAAACTCCCCCCACAAAGCCAATCCCCTGACTGTGGCTTTCTGGCCAAAACTTGCAGACTCACCCTGGGAATTCTCCTCTAAGGCCACAGTGCACAAAGTACCTTTCTTAAGAGAAGCCATTTAGCTAGAAGGCTTCATTTAAGGCGGGTTAAGCGTGGTTTAACGTGGCAAATGATGCCACAGGTTAAGCATTCCAGTTGTCTTTTCCAACTTTCTTCCATACAGGACAATAAATCACCAAATAAATAACAAGATTACTGAAAACTGATGCTTTTCCTGCCTTTTCCTGAGCCTCCTGATTATTTCTTGTTTAATCCTACCTCATTCTCTCATTTCTTCTGTCCTCTTGTTGAAAGATGACCTCCTTTAAAAGTGAAAATGTTGATTTCCCTTCTTACCTCCGAGTCTGGCTCTCAATATCCACTGCTTCAGGTCCACTCCTCTGTGAGTCCCTCTGTACTTATTCTACTGGATGTAACTCTCGGATTTCATTTCCAACCCAGTTCTTTCTTTCTTTCACTCTTTCCTTGCTGCTAATCCTTCCTGCCAGCCGACACATTTCTTCCTTTATGAGCCTGTTTCCTTGTCTCCAAGACCCGTAATCCATCTCACAGAGTATCCACATTTCTCTGTTATCTTTTTTTTTCAAAGAGATTAATCAAGGATCTCAGCCTTCATCAGCTTGATTTATGTTTTGACATGAGTTTATAGTTACCCAAAGCTGGGCTGAATATGATGTGTTCACCTGAGAGGCTGTGGCCCCCTCCCTGCAGGGCTGCCATCTCTCAGGGTTGCGAGGGCCACTGCTCGAGTCGCTAGGAAAGAGGATAGCTGTGCGTTCACCGCTTACCAAGCGTGTCCTACACCACCATAACACCCACCCACACACAGTCATGGTGATCCCTCACCTCGGACCTACACTGAAAACCTGGCTGCAAACCAAGCTCATGACATGAACATGAAGAAACAGATGGGACGACTGCAGTAAAGTACAAAGTACATGGTGCACAGGACAATTAGCAAATACTTCTTGGATCTCCACGTCTTTTCCATTTCTCGTGAAGACTAATTCATAACCTCTCGAGGCTCAAGTGTCACAAGAAAACAAATCAATCTGTCAGCGTAAGGTTTGAGGTTGACAGTGTAGGAGTATACATAAAAAACAAGAAGAAAAAAAATCAACCCGCTACCTTGTGTATCACTTTTCCAATCAGAGAATTCTCAGCACAAAGGACTCATTGAGCAGGCAGAGACTGGTGGCATTGTCTCCCAAAGGTTAGTTTCCCCCAGTCAGGGACTACACCTTCCTTCACAAATCCCTCTCCAACATTCTGCTGAGGTTAAGTGGAATGCAGCCGGTCAAGAGCGTGCGCAATTATATGAGCGACATCAGCCCAGGAGGAGGACTGTCCGAATTATTCAACCACATTCTGTAACAATTACAGAACAATGAGCTGGATGTAGCTATAGGTTAAATTTTACAGGTGTTCAAAGTCTATTGAGTCTCATCAAAGACTGACAATACGGATGAATGTGGGGACCTGACTCTCTAAAACTTGCCAGCCAGTACTGGGATCAAAGAGTTATCGATAGAAGGTTTATCTTTTTTACCTGGATTAAGTTGTTCCACAGCAGGATGTCATGTTTATCATGGTATTGCTTACCTGGTAGATACTCAGCTACAAATGCTGCCAATGCCAAAATGTAAAAAAAAACGGCAGTTCCTGAAAAGGCCACTGGAGGCTGGCTCCAAAAGTGAGTCAACCCCCATAAGCCTACAACCTGCTACATGGCAGATATTTATTCTCTAAAGTTTGCTTCTGAATGATGATAATGAGGTTTTATACATCGAACACATTTTAGTTTAACTAAAGTTTAAAGTCATGAATAATAAGAATAATAAGGGGCCTGTTTTTGCATTTAAGTGACAGTAATTAAGTTACTGCACTTAACCTCTGGGCCAAGTTTTTTGTTGTTGTTTGTGCCTTTTGGGGATTCTGTTTAATTTTTGTTGATATGTTTTCACCAATTAACAGATATCGGGGTCCAAGCTAAACATTCCTGACCCGTTAGTATCAAAGGTTTGTGCAGTTTGATTCTTCAGCATCGCAGCTACAACTTAGGACTTCAAATACACTTCAAATCTTGCCGGATAGTTAAAATTGTGAAGAAGCATTTGTACCTCACTGACAATAAAGATGGAAGCAATGTAGGTCCAAACTTTGTTTTTAAGAATTTATAAGCATTATGGAAAGTTATGTTTACTATGGATTCAATTCTGAAGTGGTTCCCATCATAGATGTTCTTTTTCTGATGTGAGCTATGAGAAACATTGAGGAACGTTCAAACTCATGAAGAATAAATCAAATGTTTCTTAAAGTCCCTTCTTTTAAAATGAGAAAAACAGTGATAAATACATTTGAATGTATGTGTGAGTACCTCTCAGGGAGCTCCTGTTCCGGGCAGCCCTGGTAGTACCTGATGAAAAACCTCTCTGCATCCTCCCTCTCTCCATCAGACACCTTACCTCCATTTAACACCCCTACGGACGGCAGCCTGCAGACAGGAGGCCGTTATTAGTACACAGATTATGGTCAAGGGCATGATTATTTATAGACTGCTCCAAAACATATCCAAGAGTGTGCTGCAGGTCTGTACAACAAACATGTAAGAAGATACAATGAATGCACATATATATTAATGGATGCAGAGATATTGTGACATGCATGCAGATATTGATGCAGCAGAAATGCAAACCATGAATGCAATCATCACTGGGGTAAAAAAAGGGGAGTATATTTGGGTTTTAAGAAAACTTTGAAACGAATGTTTTACCCGTTTCTATACTTAGAGGCAGACTATTCCAGAGTTGTAGTAGACCTGCAGAGAGGGTGTTTTTAGACTATAATCTGAGGATCAATCCTATCAGCACTGTGAGAGAATAGAAGTTTTGTCTTATGCTGGGGTGAGACCATGCAGAGCTCTAAACACAAAGACAATCACACAGGAAGCCATCAGGAGGATAATAAAGGAGTTAAATTATCAGTTGTCTTCATAGGAGTCCAGCTGCTGCATTCTTAACAAGTTCTAGGCAATCTATAAGGGCCTGGTTCATACCAAAAGACAAGGAGATGCAATGATCAAGAGGAAACTAAGAGGCGTCATGACACTTTCTTAATCTTGAAGTGATAGAAAAGTCCCGATCGTTCACTCTGAGCTGACAGAAGAATTAAACTGTCTGCCTAATATTAGTCAAGATATTCCGCATAAGCAACTGGTTCATTGGACAACTGGTAAAGGGACTGGGACATGTCACTGGAAAAGGTTAGGGGCAAAACAGGAAGAGTTTTCTTAAGATATTGTTTGAGTTTTTAGCCATCAACGCTCTAATAACAATTAGGTTCAGATTCAGATTCAGATTTTTGAAGTGTTTACGTAATGGGAACAACCAGGTCAATTAGATACTCATCATGCCATAAAGGGCTAAAAGGATTTGACATGTGTGAAGTGATGAGACTTACTGTGCTAAAAGGAGGCTGCGTCTCTCGTGGGTGGTGTAAGGCTGCAACAAAGGAATCCCCATTGCTTTGACTTCCTCCAGCTTAGGGAACAAATTGAGTCTTGCAATGTCCTCCCACTTAGTGAGCCCTGAAAAACACAACATCACACAGATATAAGGCTTTTTTTTTTTTAACACCATGCACTAAGCGTTTTACACAGATGGAAGCAAAAGTACCCAGAATTCATTATCCCGATCTGACCTGAGTTGTTGAGGTTGATGCAGCGCAGGTTGGGGAACAGGCGCTGCAGTGTTTCCTGAGTGTCGTTCACAGAGTCCACACTGTTGTTGGCCAGCACGAGCGTTCTCAGACTCGGGTACATCCTCCCGAACTTCCTCACATCTGCCCAGTCCTGCAGCTGGTTGTCTGTGATCTGCAGGAGGCGCAGGGACGGACAGGACGTCTTGGATTCTGACACCGTGTTGTAGTCATTCAGGCACAGGAACAGCTCCTCTAATCTGGGTGATCAGGGAAATAGTTGGAGTAATGTCAGAGAAGGTGCCAAAAAAAAAAAAAACACCTTGTCATCTTATATATGTATTGCACTTGTTCATTTAACCTCTTTGTTTAGTCCTGACATAAAGGTTTGTGTTTTCATGCTACTTTAAGAGTTAGGCTGCTGATCATTTAAAAGCCATGGGGGTTTCATGGTTACAACCTAATCGGATACAACAGATTCACTGTGAAAAGATTTGAAAATGAAGACTGTTTTCTATATAATATGACATGAAGTTCATCATCATGCATTTTTTTTCTGACTTTCTGAGTTGTTGCTTTTTCTTGAATGGGTGCTCAGGTGAAATTTCCAAGCCAGGAACTTACTGTATGATTTACTGGCTTCTTAAAACATTCATCAGTAATTACAGGTCACAAATGTTACTCTACTTGCATTGATTACTGTAATTCACATTATTTTGGTATCACCTAATTATGGCTGTCCTTAACACAGTCAGAAAGAAGAGATCACATCACTCCAGTTCTTTCCTACTTACACTGATTGTCAAGCTGAGGATTGATTTTAAAATACTGCTGACTGTGTTCAAGGTATCATGGACTTTCCCCCCGCTTACCTCTCAGAACTCCTGTCCCCATATCAGCCTGTAAGAGATCTAAGGTCACCTCAACAAAACCTTCTGTCAATACCTAGATCCAGGTCAAAGTGTAATGGGGACTGTTGTTTTTCCATTGCATCCTCTTTACCTCAAAACATCTGTCTCTCAAGTGTTTTTAAAACTTGCCTCAAAACATATTTATACTCAAATGCCTTTAATTTCAATAACCCGTGAAGCACAAGATCCTTAACTATGTAAGTCTTGTGTTACATCAGACTTAATTACTACCTGTTCTTTCTTCTTGATTGTTGTTCTTGTCTGATATTTTCTAATGCTTTATTTTTCTATCTGCGGTGTTCAGCACTTTGGATCGACTGTTGTGTGTAAAGTGCTTCATAGATAGAGTTAAATTAATGTGTGTAAATGTATACTGTATAATACAGTGTAAGCCAAATCAACTGAGCACTGTAGTTGTAAGCAAACATTACTTTAATAGGAGTAAAATGTGCATTTGTTGGGGACTATTTTCTGTAGCGGATGGATACGAATTTGGTGCTTTAGTGAGTTTTGACAGCAGTGGGGTTAGTGTGCATTGGTCACTCATATAGAGCTTTGTGGCACTGAGGAGTAGGATTTATCAGGCTGTGGACACACACACAGTAATATCTGTTTTGGTGTTTTTGTTATAAGAAAGAAATATAAACCAGTTGCTGGTCATTGGATATGAATTTGCAGCATTTTTAAAGCACACGTTTCTAAAAATACAAACATGTTACTTCCATCAAATGCACATTTTCTACATTTTTCATGATAACTTTGCACAGTGACTCATCAACAACGACAGCCCTGGGCGACCTTTACATGCTCTGTCACTCACTCTGGCGTGTGCTGAGTGAGCGTGTGCACCGTGTCCCAGCTGACGTGTGTGTTGTTGAGGATGAGCTGCCGGACTCTGGAGAAAACGTCGGCCATGCTGGGCTCCAGCTGCGTGCTGCTCAGAGGGTTCATGCTCAGATTGAGGAAGTCCAGGTGGGGGATGCTGGACACAATGGTGCAGATCTGACAACAAACAAGAGAAAGGAATGGCAAAAAGAAAGCTTAAAGCCCCGAGGTTTTTAACCAATGGGATCATTGCAACAAGTCTGTTTATGCAGCTCCTGGAAATAAAGTAAAACATGATTATAACAGGTCCAGTCGGCACAAATACATGAGATCCTTTTTGTCTCTAAAGGAGGATTCCTTTTCAGAAATATACCTGTGGTCACTCCCTCACTCTGCCAGAAGGACACCCACCTCTGTCCAGTCGTTGAGTTGATTGTGGGACAGGTCCAGCTCCACCACATGGCCACAGAAAGCTGCGATGTCTGACCGCTCGCCGGCTTTACTGATCCCACAGTAATTCAGGACGAGGATGCTGGGCAGGAACAGGCGATCTGCAAACAAACAAGAGTCAATACAAGAAACTTAACTCACCTTTAAAGACTTTTGGGGGGGGCTTTACAGATTCACCTTCTGACAGAAAATGTTAAGGATGCAGGGTTGAACTTCTAACAACAGGGGGTGCAAGTGCTCACTTAGGAAGACCATCATACTAGTAATCTTAAACCTGACATAATCCCCCTCCTTCATCTCTCACCTTTGATGGGGGATCCTGGTGGGCTGGGCATAACCACCACTCCTTGGCCGTAGGGAAAATTCTCAGGGTGGTATTTCTCGCTGAGCACTCGGATGAAGGTGCGCCCCTCCTCTTCATCAGAGGAAGACTCCATGGTTTATGCCCTGAGTGGAAAAAACAAAGAAGCAGAGGGTGAGAACAGCTGTGAGTTTACAAAAAAATTAAATTTATAGCAAATAAACAAAAACTGCAACTAACGGCTAGTTCTATGAGCGACTAATCTGCCTTTTATATCCCTGATTAAACGATTATTCACTTCTTACATGAAACCCAGACCCCCATAAGTACCTTTGAAGATGTGAATCTTAAAACCAGGGCACAATTGTTAGCTTTAAGGCTCTTTACATTATCAATCCAACTATCCATTATCTATACGGCTTTTCCCATTTGGGGCGATCCCAGCTGTCATTGGGCGAGAGGCTGGGTACACCCTGGACTGGTCACCAGCCAATCACAGGACTAACACAGAGAGACAAACAACCAGCCACACTCGCATTCACATTAACTTAACAGCTAGATATTAAATTTTTAGTCAAAAGGCATCTGTTGGGGATTTAGTTCTCTTGGTCAGTGGTTCTCAAACTTTTTAGACTGCGTACCACCTCCGAAAATATTTGGCTCTCCAAGTACCACCATTATGGTAGATGTTAAAATACATCTACATAAAAGTGCCGCGTCGCTGTCCGAGGTGCTTGATTGTTCATTTGTTCATCTGTTTGTTTTGTTCACATCTGTTATGGATTTCTGCAGTTCTTTTTGTAGGCTATAAAGTTTGTCATGCCCATAGATAGCCGTGTTTTTGTTGTTGTTTTTGGCGTGCGTGCGTGTGTTGGTCAATAATTTCCTATATGTCCCCCCCACCGGATTGTTGATGGACGGCTTGCCTCCCCCCACCCCCTTGCTCCCTATCCCTCTTCCTGCATCTTATCCCATCTCTCCCCCTATCTCTTTCCAAGCCCGGCGCAGTCTAGGCCTGTAAAGGCTGTTTCGTCATGAGCCGGGGATCCGGCCGAAGATTTCTGCCTTTTAATAAGACCGTTTTTTCTTACCACTGTAACTTTTGCTGCTTTGCTAAAGTGCTCATGATGGATAGGCCGGATCTTTGTAATATAGCAATAAGTAAGGTCTTTTACCTGCTTTTTGTAATGTTAACAGACAAAGAGTAAGGTATTTTACCTGCTTTTTGTAAAGTGTCTCAAGATAACACTTGTTATGAGTTGACGTTATACGAATAAAAATTGATTGATTGATTGATTGATTGATGTCGGGGAAACAAACCCAGTTGCAGAGAGGAGAAGGAGCATCTGTGTTTATCTCTTTTTTTGCAGTGTTTTTATTAAAATGCATAGCCTAATATATCCAACAATATAATAGACTAAAAGTTATGTCTGTTTCATTTTTGTAGAATGTGTTTTAGAAACGGGAGACGTGGAGCAGCAGTAAAAAACGGAGCACTAAAAAAGCCGACAGATATTTTAAATTAACATGCAACATTTAAAAGGTTACCAATCCTGCTTTATGCTGATAGCCTATTTGGTTTGTAGATAAAAGTAAGTTGTATTTAACTTCATCAAAAAAATGCATTATTTCTGTGCTTCTGAGCACAAACAATTTCATTTGCATATGAAGTCTGACAGACGGCTGCGGCACTTAGAGGGGGGTCTAGACTGTTGGTGGTCCTAGTGTTAAGACAGCAAAATAGAGCAGAATCACATCAGCTTCAGAGCAAGAGAGAGAGAGAGAGAGAGAGAGAGAGAGAGAGAGAGAGAGAGAGAGAGAGAGAGAGCGACATGCATCAAAAACTGAAGCTTCTCCTGGCTCCGTTATGTACAGCTGCTTGCTGCCGATTGTGCTGAACTCCAATAAATAACAAAATATCTGTTAATGTAGACCTACATTAACAGATATTCAGCTGCTTGCTGTTGTTTCAGGACTGAAATAAAAACGGAATATCGAGTGGAACTTTTCAAAACGTGAGGCGTACTCCTGTTGTTGTTTATGTCTGTGCGCACGAGCATACACTGAGCAGATTAAAGTTGTTTGTTGCAAAAACTAAATTAATTTAGAGGGGAAAACACATTTGATATTAATACAACCCAATAGATACAAGACAGATAAGAGTATGACAAAAATAAAAAATGTGGTTTTATGCTGAACAGGTTTTTGTTTTATATTGTGGAGATTTCTTTGCGTACCACCACAGGGAGCCCGCGTACCATAGTTTGAGAACCACAGCTCTAGTGAACATTTGAGACAGCAGGAATGAAATTTGAAATCAACTCAAAATCAAATGCAGTGTCTGTATTTATGGTGCTGAAGGAGCACATCACCCAGCAGAACAAAGTGTGTGCACTAACAATACTTGGGAATGATTGATTGCTGGTTTTGATCTTTTCAGGGGATGCACCATAGACTGGATGCACTGGTTTTTAAAAGGCCGTGTTCACACTTGACTTCTTTTTTCAACTGCCAGCGCCTTTTTTACACACAAGCCTATGGAAAAATGAAAAAGGATGACGCCTTTTTCAGTTGAATTATTTCAACTTTTCAGAAAAGCGCTGGGTGACATCAAGCGCCTTTCTGACAGCTGACCAATCAGGATGAGTAGTAACCTACGTCCCTAGCTACCTGTGCCCAAAAACGGCAAACTTCCACCAGATATGTGCGCATTGCGTGTCCGCTCCGGTCCGTTACGGCTCCGTGCGTCCTCATCCGTCAACACCCACCGGCTGTGTTCTCAGTCTGCAGCACGGAGAGCACAGCCGGACAGCTGGAGTACAGAGACAAAGGAGTTTCCGCGGTAATTTAACAGATTCACTCGCGACAGCACAAGATAATACGATGTTCGTGGTATAAAACTCAATAAAAACCTTATAAACACATAAACAAACACAAACGGTGGTTTTTCTGAACCTTCAAAACGGAAGGTGTTATTCTGAAAATAAACCGGATGTTTTAATGTTGTATCGGTGTCTGACTTCCCGTCCCGTTTGTTCTTTTCTGTGCTAAATTGATGCGTTACTCTCTGATCAGACATCAAGGAAACATGCTATGTTGAAGTGCTGGCTTCTCTGACAACAATGCAGCAGCCAGTATGTCCTCCTTCTAACTTTAGATTCTGCTCCTGAATGCTCTGGATTTGTTTGGACCAGAGAAGGTAGGCGCTTTTAAGGCGACCCCCGCCACACGGCCGTTCTGGACGCCCCTCGGTTTGCCAGATATGAGAGCAGTTATCAGGTCAACAGGTGTTGCAGCGATGGAAGCGGGTCAAGAGAAGTGGTTCAGATAGAAGTGATTGTACCCGACCTAAAAAGCCTCTGCATGTTTCTAATAAGCTCCACGAGCAGAAACGTGCTCAAACTAGGATCAATATTGGAGATGCTTTTGAAAAATGGAGAGAGGTTAGAACACAGAAAGGTTTACAGACCCATGCAGAGCTGGATAAACACTGAAGCTTCAGAGTCCACCACATGGTGACCTGTGTGAGCATCCACTCTAGAGAGGAGGGGCCAGCTCTCTACAATATTTTGAATTTGGACTGCAGTACCCATTTTGCTTGAATGCAACGGTTAGGTCATAGGAAGGTCAACAAGCCTTTATCTCACTTCAATATTCAAAATATTACGCTTGACGCTGCTAATTTCACACATCCCCCCCCTGCTTTTTGAGTTTTTTTTGTCTGTGTAGGTGTTGGATAAAGAGCTCTAAAAATATCCCATCAGGTCTAAAAATATCCCATCACATCACAGAATAACTTTAAAATGAGCAGTCGCAGAAACGTGAGAGGCAGAGCGGCAGTGACGGGAGCAGGTGCTCAGCTGACACCGTTACACTTGAAGCCAAAGCAGCTGTTCGTGCTCAGAGGCATTTTAGTGCAGCGGGAAGTGTTAGTCGTAAAACGGATTCATCAAATCTGCAGTCATTATTTGAGTGAATTTAAATTCACTGCCAACTACTTTGATTTCAGACAAAAGGAGAGGAAACCAATTTGATCTCTGGCAAAAAGTCCTTTTTCATAGAATAATTCTGTTTTGTGATAATGACAGAAAAGTGGTTTGCAGATGTAACGACTTCACATCTCATCTTCAGTTGAAGACAGATATTTGTCCAATATGTGGCTTTAGCAGCATGTTCATTTCCTATTCAACGTCTTCAATATAATTTTTGTAACAGATGTTTTTGGGGATTCTACTTTTAGATGGTTTAATGAAACAATTTAAATTGAAATAAATTGAAGGTTTTTATTTTGAGAAGAAAATAAACTTAAAAGTAGACAGAAAGAAAGTTATATACAAACAGTGAAAATATAAAATACAAAAAGAGGTTTCAAACACTAGTTAATATAATTTACACGTCTGAAAAAGGCATGGGAGGAAGTATAAACTTATTTAATCCTGTCCTCTCTCCATACAAACACCTATACTCTGATTCTCTTGACCTTTCTAAATACTAATGATCTTTAACATACTAATTATACAATCCTTAATATAAAAATATAAATTCATACATTTTATATTTGTCTTTGTAAAAGACACAGTTCTGTTTTATGAATAAAGTATACAGGATCTCATTCTGATAAATATATATGTGTATGTGCAAACACATACACACAAACATGAAGATATTTACATATGGACACATCCTTGTGTAGAAAAGCAGAAGATTATCCAAAACTACAGAGAAAAAGACAAAAGGAAAAAAGACAAAAGCATCACTTTGACCTCTTCCAAGTCAATAGTATAGACATTTTCAGAACTTTTGAAGAATTTACAAACTACACATCATATCTATGACCTATGAGTCTGAAATAAAGTATAAAGTAAAGTATGATCACTAGATATCAAAGAGATCGCTTCAGTCCAAATTGTTCTTTTGTCACAAAGGAAACATTTCTTACTTGTAAAGGTACGAGTGTGTAGTGATGTCAACAGATGCTACACGTTACAACATTTAAAGTCTGAGCTGATTGAAATACCCGTAACTGCATTCATTCATTCAAACTTTAGTTATTCTCGAGTAATCATTGAAGCTACGTCCTCATTTACAACGATGTCCAGAGACAATGATGGCTATTAAGACACAGGACAACAACAAAAATACACAGGACTATTTTCACTCCAACTAAAAATATTTGAAACACACAGAACCATCCAGCCAAATAAGGCAACTTAACAGCTGATGGCAGCCTGGCAACCATTTCCAAACTGCTGTCCTGCAGAATAAATAGCAGCAGCACGGTTAGAAATACTATATATATTATAAAAAGCAGAAAAAAATCATGTGTATTATTACAGGTAGTAAGAGTACATATTGTATTCCTTGTGTTATTCTATTTTTGCATTCTTTCACCCTTTATTTAACTGATGTAAATATGTTTGATTTTTTAACTTCTTGTTATTTTTAATAATTCTATTCCTGTTTCCTGTTTCTTGAGCTGTTGTAACGCAAAACTTTCCCCCATGGGGAATAAATAAAGTTTATCTTTATCTTCAGTTCAGTCTCTTTCTGCTGGTATTTCATCAGCTTGAATGCATGTTTCATGAATTTAAGACACTTTAAAAACGAGTGAAGGTACGATTTCCTGGTTAAATCTTTTACATCAGAACATATAACCTCGACCTTGTGTGCCCCCACACAGCGCGCAGGTGTCCTGGACTCAGAGTCCCTCTTCTAACCCTGATCAGGCCTATCAGTTTCACACAGATGGAAGATCATCTTAAACTCGGCCCACCTGAGGTGATAGGTTTGCAGACTGAGTGTCTGTCTGATGTGTTTCTGTCATAGGTAGTTTTTTGTTTCACAGATCCAGAGATTTATAGCTCTGATGTAGCAGAGACCAAAGGACAGACCGTTTTCAACAACACCTCAGATCACATGCCTTCCTCTGCAACCGCTGAGAGATAACGTTGGTGGGAACTCAACTAAACTGGAGATTGGAAACCGGAGAAAACTCAATTGCATGCATGAAAAATAAAAACACTGTAAGGTTTATGAAAAGTAGAAAAACAACACTTAAAGAGTGGTTAAGCTTGAGGCTGACAAAGGGCAGGCAGGGTGACAGCTGGGATCCTTGCAGGATAAAGGAAGCATTTTAGTTGCTGGGGTTCAGTCTTCCAACAATACACCTCCAACAACTAAAACCTTTTGAAAAGCTCTGACATATGCTACCCTGAGGTGATATCATATACCCACCGTCATTTGGAGAGGATACCATTCATAACCTGTCCATGTGATATCACCTTTATATGGGCATATTGTTAACACTCCCTGTATCTCTTTCAATCTAAATATCATAAATATACTCCTTTCTTTAATTCGGCATATAGAACAGACAGAGCACTTTTTTTCCTCATTTATTTGAAGTTGTACAAACACTCGCTACTGCCCTCCACGGTGTTGTTTGGAAGCAAAACTGTGAAATACATTTTAAATTCCACCATTTAAGAAAAAAGTATTAGATAGTATAATGATGCCGAATTAAGTAGCGACCCATAACGATTCAAAAAAGGTCAAAGTTGTTACTTTACAGGTTATTTAAACTTCATAACAAGCGAGGCGACTTTAAACTGGAAGATTTTTCAACGGGGTTCAGCGAGATAAGAGCGAGGCCTTGTTACTCAACGTCGTTCGTGCACAATAACAACGGACCAAACATCAAATTGAAAACCGACATTTTAATAGTGGCAAAGGGTCAAATAATATTTACTTTTTTTAACATTCAGATCTAGTTTACAAAAGTGCTCTCAAGCTTGAAATGTGTGCAGCATGTTTTGAAACACAAATATTGTGCAGCAGCAGCAGCGCAGCTACATTTACCTTCAGCTCGGGAGAATCACTCGGCTCCAGTTATTTTTACCACATCTTCATTTTCATATTGTATTTTGAAACTGATAGGGTTTATTTTAAGACCATTACACTCACCGTCCCCGGAACCCCCTCCGTCCGTGTTGTGTTTGTTTTTGTTATTCTTCGGTTAGTTGTCACTCTAAGCCCCGCCCAATGTTCCGGAAATGACGTAGTTTAAAAGTCTTGTTATTTTCCGTCTTTTAGTGAACATTCCTCTTGTAAAACAGAAACAGGCCTATCCACATAATTTAATGCAGATTTATATTTATTTTTTTATGTCACTATATGTTATATTTCCTTTTTTTGTCTACATTTTAATTTTGTCTCGTGTCTATCTTTACATAAAACGGTAGGCTATTTCATGAAACATGGTTTGTTCCTTTATACCTTTCATTAGAAAGTGTGTCACACAATATGAAACATGCATTCAGTTTTGATCTTTTTATAAATAGTAGTTATTCATGGGTTGATATGGGGGAAAAAAATGTAAAATTATAGGCTATAGGTCGATTGATAAACTATATTTTCGGATAGAAATTTCAAATTCTGAAAGATATCACTTACTTGTCCAAGTGATTTTAGTTCTTATTTTACTTAACAGTATAATTGAGTTTGTTAAATATATTTCTTAATCCAGAATGATTTAATCTTCAGAAATATTTTCTAAAAAGCTGTAAAGAAATAGAGCTGGTGTATCAGGCACAGCCACCAGATGGCAGTCATATTGCACGTATCAAACCCAAGTTTCTGCTTTTATCACTGCAGAGTAACACAGTTTTTTATTGTGTGTGGGAAAATTCCTGAAAAAGGCAATGTTTGAAGAAGTACCAGTTAAAAAAATTAAAAACGCTCATTTACAAATAAAAGTTAAACTCGAGTACAGGTCTATAAGTGGCAAACTGTAGTACTCATTGTGTAGAAAATGTCTGAGCAAAGTTTTACTGTTGTAACTGTCTGAGGTAGAGATCTTTTTAAATAACTAATTTTATCAGTTTGGTCGGTATTGGGCCTTTTGTCCAAAATAATCTAAATAAAGCTTGTACTATATTAAACATCATAACAATGGCCACTGATGCAGCATTGTGATGTGGTGTACACAGGCAAAAGAAGTCCATTGTCCATGCAAACGGTCTGCAAGCAAACAAGAACAAAGAACGGCTCCTGCTGCCAGGTGCATGTTGGCTCTCTGCCTGCCTTCTTACAAACTCAGGTGCCCACAGTGTTACCAAAATACCAACCAACCAATTATACTAATTGTGCAAAAATATACCAGAAAAATATCTATCCAAAGTAGATAAAAAATCTAATGAATGTAGCTCACAGTTTTTGAGATGATAATCTGGTGGACAAAAATCAAAGCTCTGCCAAATTTTTTCCTCCTTTAATTGTTGTGGACAGAAAATACAAGAGGTTACTCTTCCCACGTTTGATTGGATGTCCAATCCGTGTAGATTTCAATCAATTCCTCCTTTCAAAACTGGCCAAGAAATCTGAATTTCATCCACTGTATACTCTGGGTCATAAACACGGCCGAAAATCTGATTGTAAAAGTGTAAAATGTTAACATCACATTCTCTACAATCAAATTCCTGACATCCCGAGATAGTTCTGTCTGGGGTGAAGACTTGATGACGGTGTGCAGGCTAAATTAGAAATAAAAAAAAACACCCACAATTAAGAACTTAACTTCTCATAAATACTCAAAACATTAGACCCAGAGGAACTACTTCACCTGTTTCTTCATTACATTTTTATCTTCAATACAAAGTAATCCAATAGAGAACCATCACTGACTTGAGCTAAAAAATGTTATTTGAGTCAACTTCTGTGTCAACACCAAATGGACTAATAACACAGCATGTCTCATGTAGTTAGGATTTATAGCAGCTTCCTCAGAAGGATTCCATTACATCCAGTATTGGTGTCTCGTTTTCAGGTCACCGAGTGTAAAACACAGATTGATTTTGTGCCACAGACCTTTTAGAAGCTGACGCTTAGACAGAAAGTAAAGCACAGGTGTTACTGATAATGTTATGACAACAGTCAGGGTGAGCCGCGGCAGTCTGACAGAGAGCCAGCGTACAAAATACAAAAGCCTGGTCTTTCTCTAATGTCTCTTTATTTACTCCATGTTTGAAAAGGTATGTAGGATAAGGTGAAATAAACTTATCTAGTCCTATTTATTTATTTTAAGTTTGATCATTTAGTCCAAGGACTGAGCTTTCAAAATAAAATCAAAGAATACAGTTAAGTAGTTAAGCTACATGTTGATTGAGTGGCTAAGCTAATTTTAAATAACTGACACTTCATATTTTACTCTTTTTGAAAAAAAAAAAACAAGGTTTGTTTTTCTGATATAGACAATATATTATTTTTAATAACTTACTGCACACCATGCAGCCAACAAGTTCATGGCTCAATTCTCTCAATATGACAGCTTCACAGAAACGGACCATGTCTGTCAGAATAATGCAAAACCAAAGAAGAAGAAAGGCAGCAGTGAAGATCTCAGTTGATCTCACATTTCTACCTTCATTACAGCATTATCCTATCAGGACACAGAATTGGTAAGTTTGCGAGTACACCCTCAGCATCTGGTGTCTTTGCTCACAGTTCTACTTCTGAAACACCACCACACTCCTCAATGTCACTTCTCCCTCACCGGCCAATCAGAATCAAGCAGGGGCGGGAAAGCTGTTTCCTTAAATAAAACCAAATAATAAGCACACTTTGCTATTTAAATGATAAATGGACTTGAGCTTATATAGAAACTTTTTTAGTCTTCTGACTCCTCAAAGTGCTTTTAAACTGCAGGTCACACCTACACATTCACACACTGGCTTCTATGTAAAAGAGTCCATCAGTATTAGGTAATCCCATTCATACACATACGAGAGTAACTTGAGTTTAAGTGTCTTGCCCAAGGATACGTCGGACATGTGGCTGCAGGAGCTGGGGATCAAACCCCAGACTTCCCGGTTGAGAGACGACCGACTCCACCAACAACCGCCCCTAAAACAGACCGAATGCTCGATACCGACAGTAGCGATTCTGGAGTCTGTTGGGGCCAAAGGCAAAAATTCACAAGGAGCCCCTCCAAATGGAATTTATCCCCGTTAAAAATAATGTGACAACAACAACATTTTTAGTGGAAGTGATGTTATTAAAGTGTCTCTTGTCCATATTTAGGAGGCAGTCATTTATGAGTGAGTGCTTTCAGATGGGGCCTCATTAGGGAGGTTTCAAACTTTGCACATTTTGAGTCACTGCTGTGGTTTATAGTTTATCAGCCCTTTGGGGCCCCCTACTGGCCTGGGGCCCCAAGCAGTTGCCTCTGCCTTGTCTGTTGACAAGCAGCACCTCTGACTACCGAGGGAAGTTGAAATTAACTTTCATAGCCCACATTCTTGCCAACATTAGGATGTGAAGAGGGAGATTTGGGGCTAATCGGCCTACCCCCCATCCCCAACACTAAACCACAGATTGTGTCTTTTACTTTCCAGAAGAAAATGACAAAAGTTCTGGTTCTAAATTTAGAAATGTAAATATATAACCAGGTGACTGACACAGAGCAGTCCAGGGTTTTCTCTGAGCTATAAAAAGGAAATGATGTCATGAGACATCCCAGGAAGAGTCTCATAACTGACCTGAGCACGGTTACAATTAGGCTAATCCTCATGCTGTTATTTCAGTGCCGGGATTAAAATGTACACGTTTCTATAAATGTGCACAGAACTGAATGGCCCACGGCTCACATGAGGTCATGTGATGGGCATGTAATAAGATTATTCAAACACATAAACATTGCACGACACATGGTGGTAAAAGTCAGAGGGAGAAATCAATGAAGAAAGAGCCAGAAAGGTGAGAGAAGAAGAAGAGGAGGAGGAGGCGTGGCTAAACAGAGTTAATCCACAATGATCCTGTGAGTCAGTCTTAGTCCCTTCTACATAAATCTACCATTACCTCACTAGAAGGAGATATAAACAGAGACGAGGAAGTCCAAAACAAACTAATCAATCTACCAGAAAACACTTAAATTCTTGAATTCATCCTTTTGCTTCTTCTGGATTATCATCATTATCAGACGAAGACAACAGCAGAGGAACATGGCGCTCATGAAGTCGGGCTGGCTTTGGAGACAGAGTGAGTACTAACAGGACTCATATGATGTTTACCTTTACATTTACATCTTCTGCTGTTATGATGAGAAGCTCTAAGTCAAGATTTGATCAATTTCAATCACTGCTGGACACAATCTGCATTGTAAAATATTATGTTTTATATGTTTATCAAATCATAATACACAAAACGTGTCAGTGCTAGGGCTGCGCTCAAAAAATCAATGTGGCAATATATCGTCATGTGCTCTTTGTAAATACATGTATTGATGCAGAATGGAAATGGCTGCAAAGCTGTGAGGACAGTTTGGAGGGACAATTGACCTTTGGTGTTGTGATAACACATTAGCCATAGCTCTGGGATTTTAATGTATCTCTATCCTATAGGATATCTGAGGACCTGAATTTAAATGTTTAAAGTTGTAGGATCCTAACGCCTGCTGTTATTCTGAACAATAAAGAACAGCTGTTGTAGTGAATTCTGTGTTGGACATGGTCATTATCCAAAATCAGTGTATATCAGGATATGTATCGTATCGTGGGGTTGTTGAAAACTCTCAGCCCTACCGAGCGATAAGGACCAAAACTCATTGATATTGATGTTGTTTACCTGAATGGTCAAATCAAAGTAAGAACTTGTTTAGTGTTGAACAAGTTAACCATACATCTTAGGTTCTTTTGGATGATTACTTCCATTTTTCTTTTTTTTTTTTAAGATTTATTTTTTAAGATTACATTTTTGTGCCTTTATTGGAGAGACAGGACATTGGGTAGAGAGAACGGGGAATGACATACAGGAAAGAAGTCTTTCCCGCACTTTTACATCTTCCGCACGTCTTTCTTTGAACCTGGGCCGTCTGCTTTGGACGCCTTCAGTCTCTGTACATGGGGAGCATGCACCAACCAATAGGCTCCCTACACCCTGATTACTTTGCTTTTTTAAAGATATTTGTGCTGCTTCTCCATGGTAGAACTTTCTTCTTCTCATGCAATGCTGCAGAGAGTATTTTCTAGAAAGAGACAACTAAAACCAAACTCTAACCTTTGTAACTTATAATCTCGTTAATTGTTGAGTTTAAGTGGCTTACCCTCGACCATCAACGAGGATGAACCTTCTAGAAAAAGGACTTCATCAAAAGCACATCATCAAAACAAAACCAACTAATTCATTATTTAAAAAACACACTTTAATAACCCCTCAATTATAACTATTACAGCTCCTCCTTCAGGACAACCTCTAACAGTACACTGTGCGATGTCTCTCCTCCAGCTTCTGTCCTCAAACGCTGGAAGTTAAACTGGTGTGACCTTTGGATAGACGGGAGTCTCTGCTTCTACAAATCTGAGAGCAGGCGAGATTTGGAGCACCGCGTCAGCCTCAAAACAACGTGTGTGGATGTGAGATCTGGACTGGAATGTGGAGGTAAAACTCATATCCTGTAAGCTTTCTGGCATGTCCAATGTGATAAGATATTTTAAATGATGCAAGGAAAGGTGGCATGGATCAAAAACATTTTTAAATTAGGGATTCAAGATGTATCCATGAGTCAGCGTATTATTTAAAAGTGTACTTTATTATCATGAAACTTGTCTCACAACTTCAAATTTTTCAAATGACAACTCTGCAGTCCAAATAACCCAAACAGAATTCTCCTAAAAAGAAGTTTTGACCAAATGAAAAGAGGTGAAACTGGCATGATAACTTCTCTAACTTGTTTTTTGGGCTCTAGATGTTAATCCACCAGAGAGTAATCCCAAGGAGAACCGCATCGGGATTCAGCTCAGAGACGGCTCAAATGTGAACCTGTGTGCCAACAGCGAGGATGAATCCATGTAAGTACTCTCTCTCTCTCTCTCTCTACACACACTCGTCTCGTCTGCTCGGCCTCCTCTCTAACCCATCCATCAGCTCCTCATCCTTGTTCATGTCTTCATCTTTTCTTTTTTTTTCAGAGCATGGAAAATGTCTCTGCTCGAGACCAGGAGAAACCCGGTGAGTGATCCGTGTTCTCTTTGTGAGCTCAAACATGATCTCTTCACTCTCACTGCTGTTTGATGTTTCCACCTCTTGTGTTGAAAATCTTTGTTTTCTTCTCGTTCAAGGTGTTCACATATGACCCGTATGATGACTCCTACCAGGAAGTCCCCATCAACAGATACCACACAGTCTACATCACACCTGGAGCAGGACCTGGTATGTTACCTTAGTGATGTAGGAAACCCAAAAGTGAAACCTCTCAGCCACTGGGGGAAAAAACACACTAGACATGATACATTATTCACCTCTTTCAGGCCAACAGAACAAAGGGTTCAATATCCCTCAACAGATGTTATACAACTGAAAAAAACCTTCAGACCTACGTGCTCTAAAGCTAAATGGACCTGAACCCCAGACCTTCTGCTTAGTCGACAACCCAACTGAGCCATAGCCACAGGTTTGATTCAAACCCATGCTGCACTCTGGGGCTCGAACCCTCAACCTTCCAGTTATGAGACAACTGACTCTACCAACTGAGCCACAGCCGCCCCAACAACATCACCGAATAATCAAATATGTAAAATCCAAATACCATCAATTTTTGCTTTTAATTCTATTGATTCAATAGTTTATTTGTTCAACAGAATACCTTTCTTACAATCTGGTTTGAGTTTGAGTATCTCATGTTAGCTAGGCCTATAGATGCTACACAAACTTCAAAACATTGCCCAGTAGTGGAAAGTCACAAAGTAGGCTTTATAAACCCCAAAACTCTAAATATCTGGGCCCATGTGTTTCAGCTCAAGTATTTCTATTTCATGCCCTTCTTGATTTTACTTCATCACTTTTAGATCCATGTTATATAAAACGTGTGACCACTGATCAAGAAAAATCATGCATTGTAAGAGATCAAGCAAAGCAACAGTAATTTAACTATTAAGCCTCATGAAACTTGAAATACTGAGTCAGAAGCCAGCGGCTGTAACCAGGACTAAACTACACCTTCATGACTGACTCACTTTGAAAGCTTTCAAACTACCGCACACAAGGCTTTGAAGCAATAACTTTCCATTTTTAACAACATTATTGAGCTATTTATTTATGTATTCCATACGTTTCTATTTCGTTCCCATATCACAGATTTGTTTACAACATATTGCCATGCATCCCCACAGAACTTCTGCCATCTCCCAGAATCAACAAACTCATCACTACAACAACTTTGCAAACTTTCAGACCACGGCAGGAGGTGTATGCATGCATGCATACATTAATCAAATGCAATCAACGGACGTACACGGAGCACAAATCAAACAATGTAAACAAACACACATATGCATGCACAAAAACTTGGGCTACCTCAGAAGCTGCGGATCCTATAGCCGCCTCCCTATCCCTCCTCCTCTGTGCTGTCGATGGTGTAAATCCAACATAAATCAGTGAAATGCAGAAAACTAAATAAAGTTTGAGTGTTATCTTATCCTCCATTTCTCAGACTTTGCACGCACTTTCACCTCCACGCACCTGCCTGATTAAAAGGTGGAGCGTTTGAGTTAAGCCACACTGCATGCTCGCCGTGCGGTGCTTATAGAGCTAAACACTAACCACAGTGAGTAGACAGAATCAAACTTTGCACATGAACCAGAGGCCTTGGCCATTGTCAGGTTTCAGGGTATTTTTTGCTGTGTGTCAGTTTGTGCATGATACAAAAAATACATCTTGATTTATTTAGGCTAGTTAGCGTAGATAGATAATGATAGGAACTTCAATACAAAGCAGGGATGCAGGATGTAGGGGTGCTGAGGGTGCTGCAGCAGCCCCTAACATCAGGAACAATTAAAACCATCAACTTATAAAACATCTAAACTTGTGTTTTAGGGGATAAAGATGTAAAGAATAATTATGTAAGAGACCATCCAAACACAAGTTAAAAAGGTTTGTGGCCCACATTTGATGAGGGACATAAAGAAGCAGACTGTCGATCAAGTCAAACAGTGGTTGACATACCTTGGCTCCTCCTTTTCTCCGATTTGCCCACCATGGATGATTCAGCAAGCATTTATTTGTGTCGTCCCTGTTGTGTTTCCTCTCAGGCACCCACCAGGTGATCGTGCAGAGGGACCCGTTTGATGGAGTGATGGAGAACCTCGCTCTGGGATTACTGGCAGGTGTAGCAGCGGGGACAGCCATGAGGTCTTTCCTCTGGATGCCCTTTTTCTTCTGCTGAGATTATCGTCAGTCACTGAAAATGATGACGCTGCACAAAGTCTGTCTGTTCACATGGACTGGATGTACCGGGACATCTGCATGTGTAGAAAGCCTTTTCTTTCTTCTAGATCTACCTCTAGATACTATCGCTTTAAACCATGTTTGCTGCTCTTCTGGTTTTTCAGTTTCTTTGGGATGTAAGACCCAAGATTCTGAAAAGTTGGCTTTATAAATGTATGTTTTTCCTGCATGTATACAACATATTGAATGTATACATGATTGTTAACAAAAGTCAAAGAATCAATTTTGTTACTGCATGTTATTTTGTCTGCTGCCTCCATTTTACACTTTCACACTTGATTGAAGTGCAGTTTTCATGCTTAAACAATGATAGACAAGGTCATTAGCAATAGTTATTCAAATTAGCATTTAGTTGCATGCAAGAATAAACTGTAAATATGATTTTTAGGACTGCAAACTTTTTATTCAATAAAAATTATATGTAAAGTACACCTGTCCAGCTTTTCTTCAGAGCTTTTGATTGCATTACATATCTTTGTAACTGGTATGAATTCATTCTGTTTGGGCTGTGAGTCAAGTTTTAAAGGTGACATATTCTCCTCCTCTTCAACCAGTTCAAGTCTCAGAGCTCCTCAAAACATGTGTGAAGTTTCTTGTTCTAAATCCACTCTGATCCTGTATTTGATCATGTCTATAAACCCCTCTATTTCAGCCCTGCTCAGAACAGGCTGTTTCTGTGTCTGTACCTTTAAATATGTAAATGAGTTGTGTCTGACCACGCCCCCTCTCTGGAAGGGCTTGGGTGTACTCTGTGCTTTCTCGCTCCATGTCCTATTGTTTACGGTGAGAAGGCAGACTCAGAGGGCAGAACAAACACCTAGCTGTGGGAGTGTCACCCACCTGGGGGAGCGGTTACTGCCCTTTGTGATGTCATGAAGGGGAAATCTCCAAAACAGCCTTTTTAAGCACACATTTTCTGAAAAGTGGAGCAGGAAAAAGATGGAGAGGATGGACTTTTCTCATCATTGGGGGGTTTGTAGACAGACTAGAGACACATTTGAAGTGTTTTTTGCATAACATGTGACCTTTAAAGTGTTCTGGGTCTAAATCTCACCTTTTCTGCATATGGAGACTGTGTAATACAGTTAAAAGCTCCAAAAACTGGTGGAAGGTGGACCTTGAGTTGGATTCTTGTTACTTTTTTAAGGCACAACAGATGAGAAGTCGGAATAAAACAGACTTTCATGAGCTTTCTGGAGCTTTTAAACCTTTGATAAATCTAATATGTGGACCTTGAGTTATCATAGTTTGGGTCAAACTTCTATTTCTAAACCTTGAAAGTATGAACACAAAAAATCATCAGAGTCATTTTAAAATGGATGAATCATTTATTTTCATCTTCTAAGTACTCTTTCTGTTCAAGAACAGTGATAGCAGAGGTTTTTTTTTAAGTTCTCAAACTGTTAATAATGCAAACTTTTCAATCGAAAGAAAGAAAACATGAAGCGTGTAATTAAAATGTAGCTAAATAATGTTATCTTCCTCCGTTTGCATCCATGTTCACCCACTGGAAAACTTTGATAAGAAACTACAAAACACTAAAGTTAATGGAATTAACTCCAGAATTTCCCAGATCACTGATTCCTGTACCGCTAACATCTGTTCTGTAATTATGATCGGGGCCTTGTAATTAGCATTAGTGTACATGAACAATGCTTGGAGAATGTGCAACAAACAAACCCAACAAAGTTTTCTCATCACATTTTTTTAGCTTAAAATGATACATTTGTCGCCCAATCAAAGCAAGTTTTTGTCTCCATTAGTGGCACCAAGTTTAGTTCACCAATCAGATTTCTCGCTGCTGACTAGACCGATTTGATTTTAAGAGTTCAAGAAGAGCAAAGTATTCAAGAGTCATTTTCCAGGAAACAATTACAGCACCTGTAGAGTTTTATCCTTTAAGTCTGACTCACAATTCATGATTTTAGTGTTTGTGACACTTAATGTTGACTACAGCTTTTGTTTTTTTAGGGTTTATTTGGGGGCTTTTTTTACGCCTTTACTTTAGAGATAGAACAGTGGACAGAGTCAGATACCAGGGGGGTGGGGTCTGACACGAACCTGGGCTGCCCACTTGAAGGACCACAGTCCCCGCACACTGGTCAGGGCACCAACCACTACTCCACCTGCACCCTGACTACAGCTTTTAATGATAAAATCTGCAGCTATCAAATGACTGAGCTGATTAAAAATGGATGAAAAATGTTGCTTGTTTATGGCCGATGCTTACATGTCAACATCCACTGGATGCTGTTAGCTGCACAACATTTTCCCCTTAGTAGCCTTTTAACTTCTAACCTGCACCAAGAGGCCTTAAGATCTCTGCCTGAGGAAGCAACACTGAGCATCTGGAAGTAAACTACAGTACTCTGTCACCTTGTCCTGTGAGTAAACCTCCAGATTGTTAATAACAGTGGGGTTTTACACATTTTTATTCTAAGTGACAAACTAAGTTTTATCCAAGATTTACATGAAACTGATCCTTTGTGAACGCATTCCCAAGGCTCCAAGGCTTACCATAATTATCAGAAGTTGATTAACTAAAATACGAGTATAAAAAATGCCTTCCATCCGAACCAAATTCATGCAAACAGAGAAGAGACTGACAACAATTTGCTGTCGTAATTTTCATTCTGTTAGTTTTCTTTCAATAAACTACCTAACTTTGTTATTTGCTGATATGGTCAGGCTTAGAAAGTATTATTATCCATCCAGTGTGGAATCCTAAATTAATTGGGCAGCATCGATGAATCAGCGAGTCATTTAGGAGGTTTTAAGATTGGATCTGTAAATCCTCATATTACCTCATAATCTGTGCTGAACATTAGAGCAGCTATAGGGCCCGAATCTGATTCCTGTCCAGCATGAATTTGCAAAAAAGTTTGTGTGCTAATCTCGTCTGTGGAATAAGAAGAGATTCACTGAATCATCCAGCTCTCAGAATATATGCACTGCAAGACAATAATGCAAAAATCCAGACGTCAGTGTGCTCTGTATCTATTGGCATGATTGATGTAAATCCATAGCTTGCTCTTGACATCACCTAAAGGTAAGACGTGTGTTCATTTTATCCCACAGTAACATCTCAAATCATCTTATTTGGCAAGAATTTAAAGTGAAGTTCTGACATGTTTCCAGGCTGAGGATCTGTAGAGTTCATTGTCCTTACAAAAATAAAAATCACTTTCAGAAAAGATCCACTCTTACTCCTCCTTAGATCTCTGAGCGTGTCCGTTCCCCTGCCCGTTCGCCTTCACTCCGTCATCCCCCAACTTCCCCTCTGCTTGAAGTTTCCGGATCAGATCATGAGGACCCTTCCCCATCAGAGCGGAGGGGTACCTGTAGGAGCCCCCCAGGCGGTCCCACAGAGTGAAGTACTGTCCGTAGTTGTAGTCGAAGAACAGGTGGTGGTCAGTGTGGTGGGCGGAGCCGTTGATGACGTCCGTCAGACCGCTGGGGACGCGGTAGTCCCCGTCGTGGATGGAGATGGTCCAGATGTTGACGAAAACGTAGAGGGCCAGGTAGAGCACCTTGTGGAGGGGGAAGAGGAACGGGTAGATGTGGTACGGGAGACCCTGCATGAAGCCGTCCACTGGATGGAAGGCGTGGCTGGCGAAGGGAGTGGGGATCTTCCATAAGTGGTGCGGCTTGTGGAATAACTGTTCAGGATTAAAGACCAAAGCGGACAGAAAAAGAGAAAGTTGTGTTTTTAAAAAAAAAGATTATTTTCTGTGACTCATACTATTTGGTTTTCAGGCTTCTGAAAAACAACACATTTCAGTTCATAAATGAACTCTGGACACATAGAACCGAAATCACTTGCACGACAAGAAGCGACGAGGTGAAAGTAGAAAAATATGTTTTTAGTAAGCTGGGTTATGAACTCTTAAAACCTTTGAAACATGCTCGTTTTATTAAGATATTGAAGATGGATTCTTTGATACTGACAGAGTCAACAAGGTAAGAAAACCTTTTTCTAGTTTAGTGTCAAATTAACAAAGTCTTGAAGTTAAAATGCACATACATTTTCTTAACTTTTAGGAAAGACAGACCCCAACGCCATCATAAACTGGATATTTGAAACCCACAACTGATTTTGAAGTCAGACTGAATTCCAGCTCGATCACAAATCATTTTATATGTACAGGAAGGCACGAGGGCTGACCACAGTCCGATCAGTTGCTTCCAACCGGATTGTATGTGTGCAAACCTGTCACATTGTAGTATCCTCTTACAAATATTTTACTGATCAAATTGCAGAGCTAAGAGCTAACTTTTTGTGCAGGATTGTACCCGCAGCAAAGGACCCAAACCCACACTCTGCAACAAGGACTATAGCCAACAAACAATGGCACATGCCATAAACTAGGACTCCATTTTAAAAATGTAAAAATTTTGGGGTCACGATCCAATTCCCCAACTTCAGGCCCTTTTATTACCTGATTACACCTCCCCTTACGTCCTCCCTCCTCCTACTGAATCACTGAAGATATGAATAGGAGAAAAGATGGCAGGAAAAAGCAGCGGATTTCCAGCTACCAAGGAATATTTGTTTTCACTTAGCTTGTTGGCTAGCTTGTGTTTGTTGGTGATGTGAACGAGAACGAGAGTGTTTTTGAAGATGTTTGTATTTAAGCCGTGCATACGAGACAGCTGAAACACACTTAGATCTGTTTGGCTTTGGTTGTGCGTCGTAAACGATTCATTTGTGCAGCATGAGATGACATGTAGATCACATCTACACAAACATACACTGTCTGCCTGGCCTAAGGAAAGTATAGTTGCACTCACCTTGTAGATCAGCTTATGATGCAGGAAGCGATGGATCCAGTAGATACACATGTCGGTGAAAAAAAGGAAGGACATCATACTGAGGAAGAGGCCGGGCCAACCTGAAAGCACACAAGACTGTCATCATCAACAAGAACAAGAGGGTGCTCAAGGTTTAAAGCCTGAGGACAAATCCACAGAAAAAAAAAGAACATTACAGAACAACTCGGAGCAGGTTTGTTCAGTCTTACCCAGCGGAGAGTCGCTGACATTGTCGTACAGTTTGCTGTATCCTCGAACTTCAGCGAAAAACAAGGCCACCGTGGGAATGCTGATCCAGGGAAGAGAGGTCATTGCATATTTGATCTCCCTCTGGACTTGATTCTAGGAAGAAAAACGGAGCATTTAAAGATATTGATCATTGAAAATTGACTTCAATATGATTCATAATCATTGCTGAGTCAGGCTGCTGTCTGGACTGTTGGTGTTATTAAAGTATTTGATTTTTTGTGTGATGTAAAAGTGTCTTCTTGCTGTTATGATTTAGTGTTGTTACTGTTGTAGCAGTCAGCTTAAGATGCTTGAAAACGTTGTTACTGATTACATAATAAGGTTTCATTTTATTCTGCAGGTTGTAAATGCAAAGTTCAATTGATTACTTTGCGTTTGGCGAAGTGTTCGCCTCGCACTCTCAGTTTATTACTCCACCGGATCATAAAAAGGAGAGACAAGGTTTAATACCTCCAAGAAGTGCGGGTGTTTCATCAGATTATGGTCGAAGACGAAGAAGTAGGCGATGACTCCGAGGCCCAGGTACAGGACGGCAGCCCCGAGGTTGGTCAGCACCAGCAGGCTGATGATCTGCCGCAGGGCCCCGTCCTCGGGCCACGACGCGGGGTACACGTACGGGGTGAGGACGTGGTAGTCTGCAACATTCAGCACCAGATCCATGATTGAATCTGTAAAGAGAAACACAGAAAGAACATTACAGAAGGAGCGCTTCAGTTAAGAATCAGTGTGTGTGTGTTTGTGATTGTATTTGTAATTATTTGAACTGTTTTATATGTTGTTTTGTTCTGTCTTTTACTGTATTGCTGCACAAGAGACACCGTTTAGTGTGTTTTCCCTGCTAGAAAAAGAACAAATATTCTTCTTCTTTTTAAACAGGACTGTTGTTTTTAAGAATGTAAAAGCTGTAAAAAGAACAAACAAAAGGTTTTTCACACACTATCATGTGCATGACATTAAAAGCACAGTTTCACACGTCTGTTATTGTGTAAGCCTGCAAAGTAGGCCTGTTCATTGATTTTTGTTTTTTCCTTTAGAAATGACTGTTTTTGAGATCGAGAAATAACGTTGATTAGAGCTCAACATGTTAGAAACAAACATGTAAAGTGGTTGTTCCTGCATGCTAACAGTGAATATACTTAGCAACACAATGAAAGGATTTGAGCTGATGTTTATTGTGACCAAGTTTAAATCATAACTAACACAAAAAGCTCTTTGTTTGTTGTTTTTGTCTGTCTTTAACTTCCTCTGCCCTCTGATTAAAGAAGATCATCTAATTGACTCCTCCTATATATTTGGTGTCATGAAGTAGGTCAGGCCTGCTCTCCTCAATATCTGACTTTATAGCTGATTTAAAATAAATGTATGAGAATGAGCAATTTCTGTATCTAAAGACACTTTATTTAATGCTGTTATTAAATCATTTTCGTTGCTCTTCTGTAAAAGGTGCACACACATTTCTTTTGACACATATCCCCCCAGAACTGCTCCATCATAACTCCACTCTGATACAGTCAGTGACACAAGATGTTAAAATGTATCATAATATCAATGAATACAAAGGGAACATCTGATCCCTGCAAGGTGATTCAATCCTGACTCCAGACTTCATCAATTAAGTTACACACAAAAAAAACCGTCCCCAATTAGAGGTGACAGAAATGCATAAAAATAAACATATAAAAGGTTTTAAAAAACAACGCATGTACATCAGTTACGTCAAAGAGCTCCAGCTGTCGCGTTTATGTAACCTCCTCACCCTCCGTTAGGGCTGATAACTCCACGAAAAGCTCGATGTTTTGTTAAACTAACAGACTCAAATGACAGCCTAACATCGTCATACTTTTAAATAACTTCACAGTTCTGTCTCAGTTCTGATGAAAGTTGAATTTGTGATATTAAAACCGCACTGTACCTGCGTTTGTTGCCCGTTTTCTGGTACAGCAGCGAGTGGAAGGGGGTGTGTACTGAGATAAAGTCTGGCGTGTCACCAATCAGTGTTCACTTCCGCAGCGCGTCACAAGAAGAACATCCAATGAGCGCGCAGACTGTCATCACGGCAGGTTTGTTGTGATCTCCGATTGGCCAAGTGGGGTATCTGATCATGGTGGTACAGGTACAATGTTCCCAGCGTTTAAATAGACACAGCAGGGACCTAATGTATTACTGAATAGATGTAGACTACATTAAAAACGTTTTCTTATTAATTATTATTCATTTACTAATCCTAACTTATGTCAATACTGTCCATTTACAACTCTGTTTGTGCACATTTACATTTCATCTTTCATATTTAAGACTAGTAATGCTAAGTTAGATCCTGGTTGTATATATTCACATTCTTAGTTTTGATATTTTTAGTGCTTATTTACTTTGTATTTAATATATATTGTGTTTAGATTTGATAATATTGTGTTTTTTACTCATATTGTGTGTTTGGACAACCTGCTGCTGTAACGCCACAATTTCCCAGTTTGAGATCAATAAAGAAATTCTATTCTATTCTATTCTATTCTATCCCTGATTTCCTTCTGCTGCTTTTACAGCTCTTATTCATTTTAGTTGTTTGCACTGTTTCTTTATAAATGCTTTTATCTCACGTCTCTGTTTCATTTACTTATTATTTGTATGCTCGTTTTTACTGATTGAACCTCCTTTATGGCTTTTATCTCTTATTACTGTAACAGTTCTTAATTGGTTTATCTGTTTGTATTGCTTCTTCAATTATTAGATTTTTGGAGAAGAACGTGGCTTTCCAATTAAGTAGAAAAATGTGCACTTTTTGAAAATCCCCCTACAATTTCATTTTCTATTTGTTTTTCTTGTCTATTCTCTTTTTATAGCTTGTTATTTAAAAGCTGTATACCTCCTTTTATTCTTTCTAGTCAGCTTGATTTGTTCATAACTGGTTGATATTGTCTGTATACAGATAATGAATTCTGGATTCCTGTTCCCGCCTCCTTATGTCATGTTTTGGCATGTTTAGTCTTTATATTCGGATGTAATGACATGTCAAGTATAAATAAAGTTTGAAAAATAAAAACAAAACGAACAAGGCAACCAGAAGCTGTTAGACAATCAGTGCATTTTTTTTTTTTTAAACAAAGATGGTCGTAATTTTGTTTTTCTTTTAGCTCACCGTTGCTTTAAAACGTGGATGTTGACTCCACAAACATGAAAACAAAGAGATAATTCAGGCATGATGAACTTTGTATATGTTTCATGTTATGAAGACAAAATGAAACTATTAATGTAACATATTCAGTTTAATGTGTTATTTTAAACCTCGTCAATAAGAGTCTGTATCAAATGCTTTTTAGGATTACTTCTACTGCAGTAAAAGAGAGAGGGATTCTCCTCGCTCCTCCCTCTAACCATCAATAAAAGGTATGAATGAAGTAGATATAATGAAGATAAACTTGGTGTTGTAGCAGCGCCTTAGACTAAATTGAATATTATTATTTTGACTTTATTAATCACCGAGGGAAACTCTGGTTTACCCTCTTATTTTCAGAGACACACACATAGGCCTGAATCACACACATGCACAAACAGGATCTGTGGACATGCATTAGTGGAGAGATGTCAGAGTGGGGCTGCTACACAGGGAGCGTATCAGAGGGGTTGGGAATTCGGTGCCTTGCTCAAGGGCACCTCAGCAGTACTCGGAAAGTGCTCTGGCACCTCTCCAGCTACCAGACCAACTTCTGTATTTTGGTCTGCACCAGGACTTTAACCGGCAACCCTCTGGTTCCCAACCCAAGTCCCTACACACTGAGCTACTGTCGCCTCCAGATATGGCGCTCAATGGATCATTTTTAAAGCTCATCGGTTTGGGTTCAGTTTCAAGATCTTACTGTAATTGTCAAGTGCACAAGTCATCAATGAAAATATTCAATTCCCTCCCTCCTGAAATGTTGAAAAAGTATGTAGTCCTATAAACATTGAAGTGAAATGACACCTTGCATCCTATAAATATACTGTAGATATATTGTAGATACACTAAATAGATTTACTGTCAGTAGATACACTGTAAATAGATATACTATATATAGATATACAGCATATAGATATACTGCAGAGATCCTATATCTTATATCAAAAAGTTCAGAAAAGAACCAAGTTAAAGAATCAGAATATAAAATATAACAAATTAAATTAAAGAGTGCAGGTGTGATAATGGATACACTTTACAACATTTAATCTACAGTTTTTTTTTTTATATTGGAAAGCTTTTTCCATCACCTAATTAAGAGCACTCTGCTTTTTTCCAGTTGGATGCAGCCGGTGCTTTTAATAAACTTTTATATACATTGATAAGAGAACAGAGGCTTTAAATTTAATTGGTCCTCCTGTAGGAAAATGTTCTGCTATTATCTTATAAGTTTAGCTTCTTTTTTTGTTTTCATATTTATTGTTTTTTTCTCTTCTTCATTCACTTTATTTTTCGGTCTCTCTCTTCTTTCTTCTAAACAAAAACCCACTGCCAATTTTCCTTCTGATCAATTTTCAGCGTGATGTTTGCGTCTTCACCAGGGATTGAAAAACAATTTAATCTACACTTCTTAAATTGCCTCAGGGACCCTCACTGAATTTAAAGCCTATGTAAATGAAAAGGTTTTTGATTGTTTATTCTTTTTCTGCAGTCGGGTCCAAGTTAAGAGCAAGACAAACTGCAGGAGACACCGTCAGCTGGGGTTATGATATACTGCCATCCTGTGAGTGTGCTCTTTTTGACTGATATGTTTATTTTTTATTGAATTGAGACGATATTAAAACAACTAAACTTTGTAACTAATTCAATGTGCTGCAGTCCTTAAAAAACAAAATGTTTCCCATTACTTTGTTTCCATTGTCAATAGTAGATTTACATCACTTTGCAGGAAATTAAAAAGCCTTTATAACAGGTTTAATGACATTAGTCGAACAGAACGCACCTCACCGCTTTGATTGATTACAGAAATATTTCAAATGGCGTTTCATTTCAATACTGAATGCAACAGTTATATCTTTCTGTATAACTAGATATCTAGTAGCAAATGATTAAAGAAACACACTCTTTTTGTATTTTATGTAAGTTTTGCATGTTTTTAGAGTGTGGTTCAGGTGATCAACTCGTTTTTATAGCTTTTATATTCAGATGGGAAATTCATTTTGCAGCAGGGGCACACAGAAGACAACACAAACAAGGACAATATCAACAGTAAAATCAGGACTGAATAAAAGTTAAAACAGAGTTAAAAAATATGATAACACAATATAAATATGAATATATCCAAACAGTGCATCACAGTGCAATCAGACAAGAGCTCATACCAAAATGAACATTTTTACTAAGTTATATAATGTGCAATACTGAGGTGTGCAAATGAGCAATTAAAGAGCCAGAAGAGCAACCTGAGGGCTAATTACTATTTCATATATTAATTGCAAACTCTATAAATGAGACCTGGAGTCTTTTAGTCTTCCTCACAGGAGCTCTGAAACGACGACCTGAAGGTTTATTACTTTTAATGTTCTCGTTAAGCACTTCTTGACTTATGTCTGTTAAAAAGGAGATTTTAAATACATTCACTTTTGTTTTGTGAAAGGTGAGAGCAATCGTCTCCACTTGACAACAAAGTCGATGTTTGGAACAGAGTCGGAGTTGTCTTGCAGCCGGCTGTGAAGGCGTCTCCCTCTGCGTGCATGCAGACACACATCAGCCAATCAGGATATCTGCAGAGAGGGAACGCTCACGCTGAGCTGCAGATAACCTGCTGCTCATCATCTCCTCAGTGGGCCTCCACAGTGGGTGTGTCACTTTGGGGGAATGTAATCAAAAACGGAGGAAACTTGTCACAACTGTCGCTTCCACACAGACACAGAAACTGTTCAACTTTTTAAACCGTCGTTCATTTAATTATTTTGTCACTGTGTTGATGGGACTAAGATGAATCAAATTTGATGTAATGAAATCCTTTTACTCACCAAGTGAATAACTGAGATTTGGAATGACATGACTGTTATCTTTACTATCAACCAGGGCGGCCAACACTCCCAAGAGGAGAATTTTCTGTGCCTTTGTTATAAAGACAGGATCATGGAAATCAGGCAGAGAGAGAGAGAGGAACAAACCCAAGAAAGTAGCCACAGGTTTTACCTGAACCAGGTCCGTTGCCCAGAGGATCACAGCCTCCACACATGGGGCATAATATGTATATTTCATCCTGATTGAGAGGTCGCTGATGAAGAGACTTGTCAACCATAAGGTAGCCTCGCCCTAAAATCTACTATAGGGCCTAATGGGATTTTGTGGCCGATACCAATATTTATATTGGCTAGAGGAAAAAAATCTGATAGCGATACCTTTCTTAGATCTATAATTGATCTGTTAGAAATAGATAAACACATTTATTATGTTGATCCCTCAAATGCAGTTATAACAAACTTGTGGAAAAGATATATATCAAAAATACGATGGTCACTCAACTAGAAAGTAACTGCTCATGTACATGCATCCCTGCTTGACACTTGAAAAAGGTTGCTGTAATCATATAGTGCCCTCTGTTGGTGAAAGAGAACTAATACAATGACAAATGCTAATATCGGCCAATATTAGCATAAACACTTCAAATGGGACCATAATACAAAATAATAAAAACAGACCGTTTTGAAGCAGACATGAAAATAGCTTTGGGGCGATACAATCATTAGGACATTTTTTAATAAAATACTAAATCTGAGGAGAAGTAAGGTCACCTTCTCTTTTACAATCCCACTTTCTTTTGCAACCTTTTGTGTCGCCCCCTTGTGGCCATTAGGAAAATGCAAGTCTACTAGGCACTTTGCATTGACCTGAGCACTCAGTGGAGTATCTTTGAACGTTATCTAGGTAGCTTTTAAATTACATTTCTGTACAATGAGGGCACTATAGGGCAAAAAAGAAACTTAATTTTTAGTTGCCAGGATTAAAAAGCCGTAGAGTTTAGTGAACTGGTTTGTCTTTGTGTCGTCTGATTGTAGAGAGCGTCTGTTTAATCAGCTTTAAACCAAAGTTGGAACACGTGCTCTTATAAACAAATATCAGAAAAGCTATGTGACAAGAGAAAATTGGCTTCCAATTTGTTCCGTTTGCACATAAAACCAGTCCTGGTAAAGGGAAAATTATGTTTGCAGTATTCATACGACATAAATCGCAGCTATTTCTCAATTCATGAAATTTTATGAGACTGTTTTATTTATGAACAGATGCAGCACCAAAACTCACTAAACAGCAGCAGCTGTGACCGCACCGTCCACATCCAAAGAGGAGGTGACGTGGTACTGAGGGCCAGCTGCCTTCAGGGTCCTCAGACTGACCCGTCTCTGGACCATGGATGACCCAGAATCCGGCTCAGTTAGCGCCAACAGGATCATTTATCAAATGAGTTCAAAACTTTGTCTGGAGGTTTTCCCATTTGTTGTCAATAAACTATGAATGTATGATGTGTATGTTGGCCTTGAGCTTGTGCTGCTCATAAGTGGGGCTCATAATGTGTCGATATGAAATATGAGGATGTCAGTAAGTTTGTGCACACTCTCAATGTGAAGGAGGGAGCTGCTGGAAAAAGTGTGCCTGAGTAATCAGTCATAGATAGATGACAGAATAATTTATGATTATTAGAAATTCTACAAGGGGCACAATGAAGAGTTAGACTCAGAGAGGAGTTTATTATTTTGTTTAACCTATATTTAACCAGGAAGTCTTGTTGAGATTAAAAAATATATATTTATCAATTGAGACCTGATGAAGGAAGCAGCCAAACCCAATCACAAACACATTAAAAGACAACATTAACACAGCATTGGAAAATCCCAAACATTTTAAAAACTGTATTCAAACACACAAGAGGGCCTTTCATGAAAAACAACCACATGCGTCCGTCACCACCTTCTTTATATGACCCTTTAAGGCAGAACACGCAATTTTTTGATCCAGCAGATGTCGCCCTTGAGCAGGTAAGACATGAAACCTTTAACCACCTCTAAGCGTTCTTACATTTATAAAACACATCATGAACTTTATTTTAAAAAATCACTTTCACCGACTGTCTTGAAGAAAGTGACAGAGAGGATCACACATGAAACAAGGTTTAAAGGCTTTATATGTGATTTTTTGATCTAGCAGATGTCGCCGTTGAGCACCAGCATGAAACCAAAACAACTCGCACTGCATTGTTGTGTTAGCATGCTAATGCTAGCGATCTTTATTATGCTGGTATCTTCACACTGCATGTAAATTTACCTGAAATGAGCGTGATCTAGAAACACAGTTAAGCAGTGAGTACAGTATGTTATTCTTCTTTTCTCTAGTCCCTCAATTAAACAACTTTTATACACGAGGGGAGGAGTCAGCTGGCTGTCCTGGCGATGTAAACAAAGTGAAGATAGGACTCTGAAAACATCACAGACAGTGGGACTCGGGTGTTACACCCACTGTAGACAGTCATTACTCACAGAGTTATTTTCAGAGGATACACTTGATTTATATTAGATTTAAGTGTAAAAAATCACATATAAAGACTTTAAACGAACCAACTGTTTTTCTATCGCTCTGCTGTGAGGTTAAAACCTGCAGACTGAGTTTAGTCGACATGGGCCTGTTTATCCAAAAGGTTTAATCCGCATTTTAATCCACAATTGTACACTACATTGCCTTGTTCCCTTCCTTTTGAAAAAAAATGGTGACTCCATGGTGACATCAGCTCTAAGTGAACATGCATCCATACATTTTTGTTCCTCTTTATTTTCTGGTAACGACGAGTCACTTCAGGTGGTTTCTCCAGATCTCAATTTATTTATCTTCAATCCTCAGAGTTGCAAAAGCAGGAAACAAGCACACAAATAGGCGTAGCCTCCCTCTTCATCACCTCATTATTATTATGATTGTGTTGTCAGACCCCTCTCATATCCTCCTCTGAGTAAGAGCTCCCCTGGCAGACGATACAGAATCCCCCAAATGTAAACAGAGACGTTTTAGAAACTCATTTGTGCCCAACTCGATCCACATTTCAAACGTTTCTCAAGGTGGTATGAGTTGTACAATGGCTTCATTTTTATTTATATATTTTCTTAAATCTTATTTATGTTGTCTTTCATGCAGATCTTGTCCAATATGAGAAATATGCAATACATTTTTCACAAAGAGACAATAAGTGTTTCATATATCGTATATATCATGTCATATTGAATCGTATCGAATCGTGCTGTATCGTATTGCAATAGTCGTACCGTCAAGTATCATATCATGACGTATGGTATGGTCAGTGCGGTCTGGCCTTTCACAGTGCTGAGTGATTATTTTGTTTTCTAAATGAGCAATAAAGAGCCCGTTATGAGAAACCAGCTTTTTTCATCCCGAGATATCGAGAAAAATAAGGTGAGATCTGCATCATTTCATATTCTTATGAGATTGGCTTATTGGCTTACACATCATAAATTACAGAAACTTGTATCATAAGATCATTAAAGTAAACCCGACCCCAACTGAACCAATCCCGAGCCCTTGTTAGTGTTTATTTTGCCGTAATTCGACACCCAATCATTTTGATGTGATGATATTTGGCTCCTCAAAATACCCCCACACGCCGTCGAATCAAACGACTTTTAACGATATTAAAATGCAGATTGCCTCCCGGCCACGACCTGCTCCACCCATCTCACTTTGATGATTAAAGTTCACTCATCACTCAGGTGGCACCTCGGTCTCTTTGAAGCCGTCTGTCTGTAGATCCTGCACATCCTGCCTGATGTAATTCTTCCTCAAAGACGGTAAAAGGAAATGCTTTTAAAGGGAGGAGGTTCTCTGCAGCTTTTTTTCAGGTGCAGAGAGATAGCCGCTTTGTTCACTTTGGCTTTGTACTTCCTCAATACTGAAGGCCAGTCTGTTGGCCAAAAAACATGTTGCCTTTTATTTTCACTCCAATTTGAAACTAGCCAGGTAATAAAAACCTTTTTTCCCCTCCCTTTGTCGGGGAAGGGAAAGGGTCTTCGCCTCTGACTTCAGTCTTTTCTTTACTGCCTTTTAGATGTCTAAGCAACAAAATACATGTTAAAAGAAGCCGATGGAAAAGTGTTCCCGTTCCAATTTGTGTGTTTTTGTTGCATTTGTTGAAATTCTCTCCAAATGCTCAAAAAAAAAAAAAAAAGCTTTCTCTCGCCGTTTTGGAGAACTTTAAAGAACAGTTTAAAGGTCGTTGGGACATTACCATAAGAGCACTTTCTACTTCCTCTCATTCAGAGATACAGCTGTTCACTTCAGCTTTTTTTTTTCCTGCAGGATTGTCTTTTCGGTTCAGTTTGGAGTCTCTGTGTTTTTTATGCTTCATTTAACTTTTTAATTTCACAAAAGCATGATAAGAATCCATTAAGCCCTGCAGCGACGTCTCATCTTCTGAAAGTGTCTTTTTTTCTCAGTGAACGCTGCTTGTTGCCCAAAAGACTTCGACTTAAGCTGGACCAATACCACACAAAGAAAGGGGGGAATGAAAAACAGAAAAGCAAATTAAGAAAATATTCAGTGCTACTGTGACATTGTGTTATGAACCTTTATCCACTACAGTCTTCTTGTTATATTTACACAAATCTAAGTTGATGTTTGAGCTGGAGGACTTCCAAACTTCATTATAATAATATAATACAGCAAAGAGTAGAGTATATTAATTGGGGCTTTTTGTTTTACTCTATGCAGATGCTCTGATTTACTCCATGCAAAAATGTAATAAAAAGATTTTTTTTAAAAGAGACTAGACCTTCTCTTTTTGTAAATTGTCTTGAGATAATTTGCATCTGTAGACATTGACAACACAGCCAGCGGGACTCGAGCTTCTCACTCATCGTAAACAGTCATGACTCAGAGACACATTTACACAGGATAAACTTGATTTCTGCTGTATTTATGTGTAAAATATGTTCTATGATTAAGATTCCACAAGAATTTGTGATTACTGGTACAAGCAGGTAAAACATGACGACATCCTGATGGCAAACAGAGAAAATTCCTTTGTAAGACGATGCCCAGAAGAAGCTCAAATGCTCGGAGGTTTCGAATGATCGGTTGCGTACTAAGAAAAGTTACATTTCTGAGTTTTCATGGTAATCTCTGCAGCTACAAACGTCTGCAGACGGTATAAAGATGACGCAGTCATTGTGGCCTCTTCCCAGTTTCACCGGGTGAAAGTTAGGAGCTCCTTTTGGTGAGATCTGTAATCACAATCCAATCCCCCCTGGAGGAGAAAGAGAAATTTAATTTGACAAGGAGGTAATGAACCCGTGCAGCCATTATCTTAGATAACCCATTTGAGAGACTGGTTGAGCACTGATGAAAATTCTATTAAACATAGTTGGCTGATTTCTCTATTTTGTTCATTGGCAGCAAAGGCTTTTTTTTTCTTTTTTTTTACTCCTGCCAATTTACTTTGAACTCTCACAGTTGCCAAGGATCATTATATCAAGGAGCTTCAAACACTCACCCTTTACTTAACGATTCAAAGGCAACAACCCCAGACTGAGGGCTAATAACCTCTGTGATGCATACACAAGACACCTCGGCAAGCGCAGGAAATACTTCTACTCTCAGCATCGCTCTGCAGTTTGAATCAGAGCAAGATTCAGGGCTTCCATAAAACTTTTTTCTAGCTCCTTCTTCTTTTAAATCAACTTTTTTTTTTGGACTTGTCTTGGGCTCAATTAAATGCTGACTCAACTTGTTTTTGCTTTCCGGTAGACGGATATGTTTCCTCCGTGTGGTTGTTATTTCTCCAAACAGACGACCTCACACATCGTTTGATCCCTATAGCAGATGCCTGACATCGAGAGAAAGGCTGAAGGTATACTGGAAATGTTAGCTTGCTTTACATTAACGACGTGAAAGGGATGAATGAGAAAGACCCGCTCGTGAAGGCAGTTATAGAGTCTTATTAATCCTATTATTTTTTGTATATTTTAGTTGGGGTCTACAGACTGTAAGTGCACTAAAGTCCGGCCTTTAAGTACAATCAGTAAGTTACAGTATGGAAGCCAGGGAACTTGGAGAAGGGAGGGTACAAGATAACCTGAAGCTGTGTGTCTCTCTGCGTTTACATGGAATAACTTGATAGGATTAAGCCATATACCGATTTGCTACTCGAACGGACAGCTGTCACTTGTCTGAGTATATATGCCGATCAGAGAATCATATTTTTGGCCGGAGCATGGCTGACTCCGCTACGCTATGTGGCGCTGTATCCCTTTCAAAAGTGGTTATAGAGCCACTTCCGGTTGACCTTTACGTCACAGCAACAACAAACTATCTGGCGGCATTCAAACAAAGATGGACGACGCTACAGCTACGTACATTTCGTGCGTTATTTACATTCTAATAATGCATATTAGAAGAACAGCGGATCTTTTGGCTGTGGCGATAACAGCAGAAGGACGCCGTTTCCGGCAACAACACTACTATTTATTACGTCGTCTCCTTCCACTTCCGGGTGAAAGCCACGTGGAAATTCTTGAGCATGCGCAGAACGCGAAATCGGATTACGATACCATTTAACGACTTATCCAGGTGTTCTTTTCCGATTATGAGATGTCTGTTATGGTCCGATTTTGGTCCGATGTAGGTCGGACTAAGATGTTTACATGCATGTAACCCTACTGTCTGACACAAAAAGAAGGTGGTAGCTGGTTGGCTGAGCAATTGACGTGTGTACTTCAACCCAATGTGTGTGTTTAAACCAGTGAGGGCAGTATGACAAAAATCCAACGCCATGGCAGAATGTTGATATCAGTTTACCGCACACCTCTACTACAGAGTCAGCCACACTTGATGCACGACATGTTTATTTTCAAGGAGATTTCATGGAGAGCTGGTAAGAGGCCGATGAGTGTAGAAATGCATTCTGATACAAGGGTGAACCAGCATATAGAGCTGTTCCCGTGTGATCAGAACGCAATGCATGCTAATGCTAGTTGTAAACATGGCCACTAGAGATAAAATGTTGTTTTTGATCTCAGTCGCTGTCAGAAGTAAACATGTATGTTTCTGCAAGACACTGTCTTTAAAATAAACTCTTGAGTTTGTAATGCAATCTTCTTTGTTTCATGAAATAATTGCATTAAAAGCATAATCAGAGTCATACAAGATTCATCCAAGACCACCAAAGGCAGTCTTTTAATTCTGTGGGACGGTATAAACTGCAAACTTTGACGATTATAAGACGATTATAACAGAATCCAGTATTCATGACACCTAACCAAAGCACAAATATGATGTTTATGAGGAACTTTTGGTCTCCACACATGGCTGCTCAACCTGTCTAAACCCAGAGATTAGATGTTGGCTCGGGGCCCTCAAAGCATGAACGCACAAATTATGAAATGGTAAAATCTGAAACCATGTGTGCTCCATTTAATATTTATCAGCTCCTGGATGCATGTCAGTATTTATTTGTTCATGGCCTCCTTGTATATTCATGACATGAATAATGGCGTGTATGTTAATCAGATGGCAGAGAGCAAGCGCAAAGAGAGTCTCAGAGCATCCTTCTGGAAAAAATCAATCATCTGCACTGGCTCCTTTAGCATCAACTAACTCCGCTGCTCCCCAGACAAGATCACAGCAAGAGGAGTGCACCGTTTTCTTTTTTACATATTGCTGGACTAACCACAGGCACTGATTAGCTGCTTCCCTCCCCCTTGATAGATGCTTTGTGCCTGGATTTAATGAACTGCTTTGCATTAGTAAGCCCCTCTCTCCTCCCTGTACACTTCGCCTCGACTTGCTCTCCTCGCAGTCTGGCAAACCAGGGCAGAGCTCCTGTGTAAAAAAAAAATTAAATTAAAAAATAAAAGAACTCAGTCAACACATCTATCAGTAAGCAGCCGGCCAGGCGTACTCCAAGCCAAGACAGAAATATTGACAAAATGTCTGCTAGCTATCTTATTATCTAGCCCAGGGTTGCAGTTGGCAAAATAGCACATGCTGGAGGCAGCGGCGGTGTTTCCATGTGTGTGTGTGTTCTGCCGGTAGAAAGAAGCCAATGTTTGTGGAGCATGCAACCCCCGACACCCTGTTGTTGTACTGCTGAGCTTTGAGTGCTGCGCCATCATCTGTGGTATTAGTGTTTCTGGCTGCGATACGGGAGTTTGAAGCAGATACCAAACGAGGAACACATCTGATAATGAGTAATTCACTGACTGCATGTCTGAGTTGAGGGTATATCGCCGTGGCAACACGAGCCCAGACACCAGTTGCTCGCACCAGTTGCTCCGATGAGAGTATGTCCAAGAAATTTAATGAAATGAGCACGATGTCAAAGTTAAAGGACAGGGGGACAAGGCAGCAGGGCCAATAAACGGAAACAGTCTGACACAGAGTGCAGCAAACTGCAATGAACCAGCCGGCACATAAGGGTTTATTTGGAAGGCTTTCATGCATCAATTTGGTAAATAACAAACCAAAGATTATCAAGCTATCAGTGCAATTTGGAGAGTAATATGGACAAGTAAGAGATCATTACGAGCATGCCTTTTTTTATACCAAGCCGTTTGTTTCATGGACATGTCTTGCCACTGTTTTGCAACCTTTCCTGAATCCTGAGTTTTTGGGATATCTAACTAAACGGGCCGAGGGATAAAGGTTGATCGCTCATCGGATCTGTATTCCGCAAAACACTTTGATCAAGCAGTAGCCTACGTTTACACGAGGTTAAAAAAAAGTTTATTCTGTTATTGACTGAAACCGCACCGAGTCACCTCAACCGGCTCCAAGCTGCCTTTAGGTCTCTTATGCTTCACAGCTCCAAAGTCGGGCTTTGACCCGCAGGTTGAACATAATAAATGCATGGAAGAAAACAACATGGTGATATATGATGTGTCGGCGGAAGAGATGTAAAGCTAAAACCAGTTTGTTGCTTGCTAACTTGTTTGTTGATGCTTGGTATGTGACGAACTGGCTCAACCGGATGAAGGTCCAATAGTAACTATAGCTTAAAGTCTTACATGTAGAAATCAAGTATATCCTCTGAAAATAACTCTGTGAGTCATGACTGTCTACAATGGGTGTAACACCCGAGTCCCACTGTCTGTGATGTTTTCAGAGTTTTCAGAGTCCTATCTTCAGTTTGTTTACATCGCCAGGACGGCCGGCTGACTCCTCCCCTCGTGCATAAAAGTTGTTTAATTGAGAATTTAACTAGAGAAAAGAAGAATAACATACTGTACTCACTGCTTAACTGTGTTTCTAGATCACGCTCATTTCAGGTAAATTTACATGCAGTGTGAAGATACGAGCATAATAAAGATCGCTAGCATTAGCATGCTAACACAACAATGCAGTGCGAGTTATTTTGGTTTCATGCTGGTGCTCAACGGCGACATCTGCTGGATCAAAAAGCCTTTAAAGGGGCCATTTCTTCCTAGTGGAGTCAGACATAGTTATGTCAATAATTGGATTCTCTGCTTGTATACTTGGACAAAGAAAGACTACGCCAGGATGTGAGCAACCTCGCTGAACTGCTGGAGAGTGAGAGGCGACGCTGCAAGGAGAGGGAATGAAAGACTCCTGATCAGCCGAGAGTTGGAGGAGAAAAAGGAACATCTGGGAAAGCAGGAATATAAACAGGGGAAATGACACCAGAAGAGAGCTCGAGAGGTTGGAAAAGTACAGCAAGGACGAGACTGTCTCCACATTTAAGATCGCCCAGAAAGTGAATGACACCAACCAGCAGAAGAAGAAACATCTTCATTCTGACCAAGAGGAGCTCAAAGTGGTACACTGAGAAGTTCACCAAAGAGCTCTGGGGTGAGAGGGAGAAAAAAACAAGGTCCTTCAACAAGAGCAAAAGCTCAGGTATGAAGGCGACATGCTCGCTGCCAAAGAAGCTAACACTCAAAGCAAGGTGGCGAGAACAAAACTGGCTGGTACAAATGTGTCATGAATCCGACTGTGATTTTGTGTTTGCACTTATCTAATGCGCAAAGTAAGAACATTTCTATGAATATATCAGTGAATGAGGCCCAATGTTGTTTGCTTCCAATATTAAAGTTGTATTCATGTGGTCTGTATTTATTCTTGGTGAAAGGACGTTCGGCTGTCAGAGAAAGCATCCTCTGTGGACAAATTGAGGTATTCTGGACTACGACTCTCTCTGTTTCCTTTTCACAGTGACCCTGGGTTAGCAGGAAGTGCAGCGGAGATGCCCTTCAAAACTCAAAGTACTTCCTGAGGTCAGAACTGAGAGGT